GAGAAGGAGACGCGAAGAATATGGGGGTAAAAAAAAAAAAAACATTCCGCGAACTTTTTGGCGTGCGCTCGTAGTGGTTTCCTCTCGAACCGGAACTCGAAGGCACAGGCGTCGATGGCGAGGAGAAATCCGGTTCCGCGGTCATCGTCTCTAGTTTTATTTTCCTTGAATTTTTTTTCCCGGTGTGGACTCGTGAGGCTTTCCTTTAGTAGGAACGACGGGGAGTTCACGACTCATTGGGATTCCAGTTTCTACTTGGTGCTGGTCTGCTACATCTTCTTCCCGCTGAAGATGTCCGTGAACGCGGTGCTCGCCCTCCTCGTCTCGCTCGTGCCGGTGGTCACGTCCATCTACGTGGAGGCATCGAACGAGTCGGGAGGCAAGGCCAGGCGGGTACGTTTCGCGTGGTCGCGGGTCGACGGCGGCGTGAGGGTCGACGGCGTGAGGGTTGACGGCGTGGGGTCGGTTCGTGCAGGTGATAGCAGATGCCCTCGTGATCGTGGCGGGAAATGGCGTCGGTTTGTATTTCTGCTTTATGACCGAGATAGCGTTTCGACGATCCTTCCTGGACAAGAGAGCCTCCATCGTGGCCAAATGCAAGAGGGAATACGAGGAAAAGACAGAAGTGAGCCCGAATCCCCTCATCCTCCTCCTCGATACCGTTCGCAGTCTAATAACGGCACGTCCGACCGGTTAGGAACACCTGCTCTCGAGCATCATCCCCGAGACGATGGTGAAGGAACTGCGGAAGAGTCTGCGAGAGGCCGTTCTCATGAGGGAGAGGAACAAAGACTACTCCATCCTCCCCATCCTCCCCAGTCTCTCGATGAAACCTTTCGCGAACGTGTTCGCGCAGTACCACGAGAACGTGAGCATCCTCTACGCGGACATCGTCAACTTCACACCGCTCACCGCGTCCATGAACGAGGAGGATCTCGTGAGGCTTCTCAACGATCTCTTCGGGAAATTCGACGAGGCCGTCAAGGTCCGTTTCTTTTTTACTTTCCCTGTTTTTTTTGTTTTTTTTTTAGTGTGAATTATTATTAATTTATTTTTTTAAAAATAGGAATTCAATTGCCTTCGGATCAAACTCCTCGGGGATTGCTACTATTGCGTGTCGGGGATCCCCGAGAGCACGGACAAGCACGCGTGGAACTGCGTGAACGCGGGCATGAAAATGATCGCTGTCATCAGGGAAGTCAGGTGGGTTCACCGTTCCAAAAAAAAAATCTGGGAAAATTTCTCGCCCTTCTACAAAATGGTCGGGAAAGGCTTTAAAGTCTTCTAAAGGTCGCTCGTATCGAGTAAAAAAAAAAAGAAATTTTTGGATTTAAAGCATGAGAAGGATCATCTGTAATTGCACGTAAATCTACGAGGACGAAGATTACGTCGCCAGAGATTACGAGGGGCACTCGAGAACATGGCAGGCTGTGTCCTCGGGAATTCTTATCGAGATCTCGCTTTTTCCTCGTCGACGAGTCCAGTCCTCGCACCCACGCACGACGACGACGGATTTCTGGGGATCGGCTGTCGATGAGCTAATTAGGAATTAACCCGAAACGTTCATTGAAGATTTTCCCGGCACGTGGGAGATGGAGAATTCGCGTGAATCAATTGTTAATTGCCACAGATGAAGAAAAGAAAAGTTGCGAAGGAACTTTCGTCGGAAGCTGCACCCTAACGTCACGGTTTTTTTTTAATCATGTTTAAACACAATGATTAACGGAAGTGCGTGGAAAAAGGTTATCATATCTTGCGAACGCGAGTCGAAAACGAGTCGCTTGCACTTGCGATAGGCCGATCCATTTTTACCGCATACTTTCGCGTCTTTCCTGTCCAAGTCGGTTCGGTCGGATTTCTCGATTCCAGCTCTTCTCTGGACGGAGGTCCAGAGATCGGCATGCTGCTGTTCGGTGATCTTCTATAACATATTTAAGAACTTTCTTGGCCGATGGACAAATGATCATTGAGTGACCCTGTCATCCCCATTCCCGAATTTCCTTATGCCAATTTTCAGAACGTTCTATATTTAAAATTTGGAATTCTCAGGAGTCGGATGAAGAATTGAGGATGCTTTCCGTCGTCAGAAACTCCCAATGCCTCTTCGTAACAATTTACAATTATTTCTGCTTCGTGGAATCTTAAAGAGACAACGTTCGGGGAACCCCCGATTGCATGCATGCAAATTTTCGGCGAGTTTCCGCCCCGTAACATTCAAGCGACACACTTGAGGATGAAGAATGGGGGATGATTTAGAGTCGTGCACGGGATGCGGATCCTCTCGATCGGACCGACACGACCCAGGGATCGGACGTGTAGATCGGTCCTCGATCGAATTTCCGGTCGCGTTGAGAGGGCGTGTCTTCTCCAGCCGCATACGGCTGCTGACAAAAAAAAAAGACACCTCTTTCCGTCAGTGCTTGATGCGACTGCGTCATTAAAGACGTCATTCTCGGGCAAACAGTGCCGGCGGAACGTAGTGAACTGCGAGTGCTGAACAGCGCAGCACGAATGTGACGTCACGGGATGTTGGAAGCGTCAGCAGAGTTTCTTAGAAAAGACGTACCTAAAGAGCTCCAGTGATAAAAAAAAAGCTTAGAGGCCGAATCGGGCTGCGGGCCGACCCGACGCGGCCCGCGGGTCGGGTCCGTGGAGCTCGACCCGGCAATGGAGTTTCGCGTCGGGTGGGGCCGCGATTTGAATCGGGGCGATGGGGTCGGGTGAGGAAAAAGTCAACCGCGCAGGCCTCTGGCGGGTAGACAGGAGGACTACGACAACGAACCTCCATTCCAATCTGTGACTGTTATCCACATTGCGGGGTGATAGCATGGAGCCCACCCTTCCACGCCTACCCTATTCTACAGGCCCTAATGACTTATTGGAATTCGAAACCTGAAAGACCAGGTGCGAGGACGAGGATTTCCTCCTGCTGCCTTCAGGTCTGTAGTTTTCCAATATGGTAAACGTGTTTGTTCGCGATGCATGCGCATAGGAAAACCTTCAGTGCCGCCTTCTAGAAGTGATCACTTCGCTGACGAATGCGAGGACAAGGGGGGCGGGGCGGGGCGGGGCGGGGACCAATGTTGAAAAAGGAATGGCGCTCTCTTTCAAGCGATTTTCCTCCATCAAATTAGCGGCACGAATTTGTCGAATTCGCATAATTCAAATGTTCATAGGATCCTTTAAACTGAAAAAAAAGAATGGATAACGGAAACATGAACAGGCCCGTGTTTACTTCGTCCACGTAAGAAAACGATGCCAATCTCTCGATTCGACAGCCTCTGTTGTCAGAAGAATTAAGCTTCCCCCTCTCGACGATCTAAAAATAAAACAGGGATATCGTGGTGACCTTTAAGAGTTGTTCGAGGACTTTCGACTCGAGAACTCGAGAATTCGATGGAATAACAAACTACGACGGAAGAAACCTTTATCGTTTACCTGGCATTTTGCTCCATCCAGTTCGGTGCCGATTTCCAGAAGCTTTTCCTCATCGTTCTGAAGCTCTAGTCGCTTGTGAGAGGGGGAAGAAATTCTGAGGATTTCCGAGTTTGGAAATTGTCGTTGAATGTTTCATTTTGGATGATTGGATGAAATATCCTATGCTCCTATATACGAGTACAGTATATAGCTTTCTTCTTGCGCCAGGCTAAGAGTTCCAAGAGCACAAAGTTCAGCGTTTTCATTTTTCGTCAAGCCATGAAATCGTCCAGAGACAGAGTCCTCCCCCCTCCCCCCTCCGCCCTCCCCCCTCCCCCCCCCCTCCCTCACCCCTCCCACCCTCCCCCACCTCTCCCTCACACCATCAGAAAAAAGTGTTAAATAAACGAGAAAGGTCTATGGGATTCCAGGCAGAAATGGGACGGAATCGACGTGGACATGAGGATCGGCATCCACAGCGGAAGCGTCTACAGCTGCATCCTTGGAATCTCCAAGTGGCAATTCGACATCTGGTCGACTGATGCAAAAATCGCCAACCATTTGGAACAGGCCGGACGACCCGGGTGAGCCCCGACCCCCCTCGACCGACCCACAACGACCGAATCAAATGTAAAAAAAATTGCAGTTTTTTGGTCAAAATTTTCCAGCTGCGTCCACATCAGCCGAGCCACCCAGAGGGCGCTGGGGAAGAACCACGGCTTCTACTTCGAGACGGGGAGGAAGGACAGCTACCTGAAGGAGAAGGGCGTCCAGACCTTCTTCATTCCGCTGTCTCAGAACAGATTCATCACGTTGGAGGAGAGGTTCGCCATACAGAAGGAATCGACGAAACGTCTTTCTCTCCAGACTCCGTGAGTTTTTTTTTCCCGCCACTTTTTCGCGGATTTTCAGGTCGCTGATGACGCGACGCGTTTCCTACAGAGAAGACACGGTGAAGTCGATGCCGAGCAGCCCGGGCAGATCTTCCTCCACCACCCACCCGGTCAGACTCCAATTTTTTTTAGAGGAATTTTTTTTTTAGAGGAAAAAATCACTCGGATTTAGTCGAGAGCTGAAATGTGCGTTTCGGGCATCAGCAACAAAGGAGATCGACGGTGCCGCGTCGACGGATCACCGCCTTCAACGTGCCGGCTTCCGTGAACAGGTTCCGAAGGCTTATGGAAAAAGTGCAGACTCGGATGGAAGTGGCCCTCGACGAGATGCCTCTCAGCACATACGCGCAAGTTTCTTCAAAAATTACTGGTTTTAGTAATTATGTTCATAATTATCATCATGAAACTTATCGTGACACCGTGCAAAAATTAGTCAGAGAAGGTAAACGTAAGGTTTACAGTCCCAGAGAAAAACTATATCCAAAAAATTAAGCGAAGAAAAGAAGAGCGAGTGAGAATCAGGTGCCAAATCACCTGGTAAATCACAAATCTTGAGGAAAACGTGTAGGTCTAACCCCTCAGAAAATCTTGAAAAATACCTTTTTACTAAACAATAATAACATTGAGGAAAAGCCATGAGAAACGCGTAAATAGCGTAAATGTAAAGATGCCATCTTGAGCCTTTAGATCTCGGAATGGCTCTAGCGGGTGCGACTTAATCGCAATGAAATTCCATTCGTGGTGTGCCTGGCAAGCATTACCGACACCAAATTCTGTCGAAGGTCTTTCCGCGTACGCCCAATTTGGTTGTCCTTCTTCCGGTCGGGTGAGCGGGGCGGGGCGGGGCGGGGAGGGGAGTGCGGTTCTGTTAATAGATCATTCCTTCTCTTCGATAAACCAGATCGCCCGGAATCGACCACAGAGGTCTTCCGAAGATAAGCAGGGATGGGGCAAGGTTATCGGGAAGTTATCGCTTCTTATCCGCAGAGCCTCCTCCAGAGCGAGTTCCAGCGATTTCCAAGTATGGGCGGGTATCTAATCTGTTGCAGCGTGGGGGAATTTGAGAGCAGGAGCAGCGCATTAGAGTCTGTTTATTGGGGCATTAGAGGGCAGGAGCGCGAGAGGCCATGCATGAGGCAACTTTATGCTGATGCGATTTCTTTCGTGAGTGCATTACTGTCAATAATGAAGCCGAAGATGATGACCTTCACGAGTTAATGCTCTTCATAAGCTAATGACGAATCGAGTTGCACGTCGGATGGTTTTTCCATTTATTTTCACTGAGTTTCGATTGGCTGTCGGCGAGCAGCATCAAATAAATTTTTTATGAGTTTTACGGCATCCCATCCATCAGAGTCAAGTTGTAACGCTTACTCGTTGTAATGGCGAAGTAACCTTTAGATATGACTATTTCGCTGTACCGAGTGCAAACAACGGTGTCAACAACGCTGAGTTCGATCTAACGATGGTCGAGGTGTCGCGACGCGTCAGAGATAAAGTGGCCCTAAGACGGATCGCCAAAGTACTGGACGGAGTACTGGACGGTTCGTAAACGCGATGGAAATATCGCCGTCGTCGGTTCCTCACGCTGGAGTAAATGCGATGGCGAGAGAGTAATAGCTAGAGAGGAGCTGTAGTACTCCGACTTGAGTTGCTTTAGCGAGACAGTGGCACGAAATTTTCTGGAGAATTCAGGAAGTATAGCACGTGACCGGTTCCCCATGTCTTTAACCCTTTCAAGGGCCAGTTTTTTCACACTTTTCAACACCTTTAGAAAACATGCAATAACGCAAAGTCATCCTCTGACTCGGAATTTAGGATGTCCTCAAAAAAAAGGCCGTGTTTTTTTGGACGTTTTACACTACTAGGTCCTGCAACGGCGTCCATTTTCACCGGGCACACCATTACAGAACAAGGACAGTCTCAGACGCAAGGTGTATACAGTGCGCATTGGATACCTATACAACCTCTTTCGATGGGTTAAATGCCGCAGTAACCTGTTGCTATGGAAAGGGATCAGGGTATGATGTCGACCTGCTTCGCGCGAAACTCGAAAGGAACGAAGATCGTGGAAAGGATCTCTTAACTTTACATTTTTTAATATAAATTTTAAATTAAACGAACGTTGTGTGAAGACTGTCTCCGAGTGATTCTGGCTTCGAATTTCTTCCAATTCACGTGAGACGTGCGTGCTGCCCGTAATCTGTGTCTTTTATCATTCGTCAGATTCTCCCCTAAAAACTGCACTTTGTGATTCGTTATAAGTCATCCTCGAGCAGAAAAACTAGAATAAAATAGAATATAATTTTTAAAAAAACTAGAATAAAAGAGTTCTAGCGAAAAAGTGAGGAATGTGTCATTTTTGGACTGTGGACGCTCCTGTCACTTTGGGATCCGTAATCTCGGAATGAATCCAAGAGTCTGCCATATACTTCATGTGGTTCCACGTGGGCGATTTATGAGATTGAACTCCGCATTTCTTAGTCCGTTTCCGCGTCGTCCAGTCATCATCTCGCATTTTCCAGGAATGAATGCTTGGAAATGCCTTTCTTCACTCTCGAAAAACGAGTTTGATTTTCCTTCATAAAGGAAAATCTGCGTTTCGCGCTCGCGTTCTTCAGCTGCACCGAAGCTATTGTTTTTTTTTTTTTTTTTTTTTTCCCTACGCAGGCAGTGGCTGAAGCCGGAGGGGATTCAACCCTATTTCGTGACGTTCAGGGACCTCAAGTTGGAGTGGGATTTCATCAGACAGCCCGACATGCTGATCAAGTACCCCGTCTTGGCCGCCACGATCCTCATCTTCCTCCTCGGCATCATCGTCCTCATCTCCCAGACCAAAAAGTTCGTGCTTTCACTCGTCCCCCCCCCCCCCTCGCCCCCCTTCGCCCTCGCCATTTGCGATTCGTTGACGAAATAGGACCATTTGCGAAATGCAGGACGGAAGTGATGACGACGTGGGGCGTGACTCTCCTGATCATGCTCGCCATCACCTTCTGGGCCTGGATCGGCTCCATCCATGCAAAGTGGCAGAGGCGGAAGAATTCCGGGGAACGGCAGGAGTCGTCAACGTGGAAGAAGATGGAGAAGGTGCCGCGGCGTCTCGTCGTTTCGCCGCGGATCCGAATCGCGCTTTTTCTCGTCTCTGCCGCGAGTGCCATCTTGGTCGCGACCATCTCCCTCGTCGATGAGTGCCCGGTGATAGCGGACAGCGTGAAATGCTCATACAGAAGGGTTCGTATCTAATTTTGTCTCATCTTTTTGTCTTTATTTTATTATATTTATTATATTTTATTCTTGTGTTTTTTTTTGTGTGTGTGCTTTTTTCCCCTTGCCATTCCATCGAGGTTCCGTCTCTGTCCCCAGTCCCTGACTCAGGAGTTCGCACTGGTGCTGAGCACGATCTTCATCTTCTACCGCATGCATTTCCTACTGAAGCTGGGCGGCATGGTGGTCACGCTCTGCATCTACGGCATCCTCGGACAGAAGTTCTTCTTCGACGGACTCCGCTGGGACGCGGAGACGAGGACTCGCCTCCTCCCGCAGCTCCACTATCTCTTCGTCATCTTCCTCTTCTTCCACTTCATCGACCGACAAGTACTTCTCTCTCTCTCTCTCTCTCTCTCTCACTTGCTCACTTTCTCTCTCTATTCACGATGGTTTCGTTTCGCAGAGTGAATATTTATTCAAGTTGGACTACAAGTGGGAGAAAAGCCTCGAAGAGGAGCAGAAGGAAGCGAAGTTGACGCGGAGTGTGAACCGATCTCTGATTTTCAACATCCTACCATCGCATTTGGGTGATGAACGATGAGGGAATCTCTTCTTCGCCTCTTTAAAGCGCTGCCCTGCCAGAAGTGTCTCGGATTCGATGCATGGTCGAGGGTCGTAGTACGGGCGGGTCCGTTACGGTGGAGGATCTCTGTCGGTGTAACTGCAATTACGCGTAGAAGTGAGCTGTTCGCTAGCTCCAGACGGCGTCGAAGTGGGATCTTCCCCCATTTGGCATGTGTTCCATGGACTATGGTCAGTTATTTTGTAAGTGGGACGAACACTCCAGCGGAATATGTCCGAGTTTGGGCCTCGTGGCCCGAACCATGGCCGAGCTAAGAACCCTCGACTCGATCTGGTCGAACAACCGAGGGACCATTTAGAACACGAAATCCTCAAAGTCCCACCGCCCTCTACAACAGTCCCCATCAGCAACAAGAAACTGTGACGATGGAATGAGAGAGAATCCCACTGGAACGCTGTCAAGAACTAGTGGACACCAAGCCACGACGTTTCACAGCATTTATTCGCACCAACTCTGGTCCCACAGTATATTGGACTCATCCGTACTACGACCCTACGACCCCATAGTACATCATATATGGTGTTTTGATACATTTTGGGCACGGCAGATTATATCAATATATAATTATATATACAGGGTTATTATAAAGTCACAACCCTATTTTGATTGCCCATAACTTTTCAAGGAATAGGCAGATTCAGCTGATATTCGACAGAGGTTCATGAGTGAAGGAGGTTTTTTCCCATATGCAATTGCAGCACTCCTATCAATATGTACGAACATGTGCCGGGCAAGGGAACAAATAAGTCATGAACCCATGAACATCTCTGCCAAACATCAGCTGCATCTGCCTATTCCTTAAAAAGTTATGACCAAACAAATTTCGATTGTTAAAAGTCATCATCAAACTTTGCCAAATATCAGCTGCATCCGAGAGTTATTTCAAAAGATATGGTCAGAGAGGTTCATGGGCCAAAGAGGTTTTTTTATTCTCATACTGAAAATGACAGCGATTAGATAGAGGGCGCTGCTGTCGATCGTAGCACCACCTATCGGTATGCAACGCCATCTTGAGAAATGGGGAAAGACCTCCTTGCCCCCTGAACCTCTATCTGCCAAATATCAGCTGAATCTGACTGTCCCTTGAAAGGTTATAGCTAATCAAAATAGGGTGGTGACTTTATAATAACCCTGTATAGACCTGGTATATAAACGCATCAAAACAATTGAGGGATACTGCCCCTAAAAGCGTGATTTCCTAATAGCCCATCGAACGACTATGACGAAATTCACGCAGATGACAGTAGTTATGCATGGCATCCCTTACGAAAATGTCTAAAGGAATTCTAAAGGAATCATTTAAGAACATATAGGAATTTTATAGGTTCCCTTTAGGACCTACAGGGTTCCGTTTGAAGTTCTCCTTTAGGCCACCAGATGGAGGTATGGGTCTTGCATTTCTCACAGTACACAAAAGTGCCCTCTCCATCCATGGAATCATCTCTCACAGTAGTGTTTTGTACCTCCCCCTATGTCTGGCCTTTCATCATTGTAGCAATCAATTAACTCTGACACTTCCTTATTTATCATCCCCATCTTCCAGGTAGAATTATGGAGTCCATGCCAGAAATAAGCTCATATTCCCTATGAGTACGAGAAAAAGTTTCTCATCCGAAAGGAGTTTCCGTAAAAAGATTGAATTCGTAGGTTCGAGAGGAGACTAGTCCTTATCGTTATGGAAAGAAGCGAATGCGTAATCCTGCACATTTGTGCGCATGGGCAAAAAAAGTTTTCAGGCGTAGGCGTTACTAATCCTAGAAATACAAATACCATGGGAAAACCCTTACTCGGTAATTAATTTACACCAAAAAGCGGCGCCAATATTGACCTAGGAGTGCATTCCCGTTGTAATGCCAGGGTTTCGAAACCCAAAAAGCCTCCCCGAATCCTATAGGTCAGGAGTCCTATAAGACCCTATAGGGATCCTATAGGTTTTTCGTGTTTCATAAACCTATAGGAAAGTCTATAGGTTTCCAATAAGAAATATATATAGGTTTCCTATAGGACATTTCCGTAAGGAATCACAGTGACATCAGCGTGGATTTTACGAAAATTGACCTATGGGTTCGCCCAAAAGCATCCACATATGACGGTACCCCTCGATCGTTGCGACGCGCGTCTCGACCTGGCACCCTAACGCTCGTTCCCGATCGCCCTGCAGCCGAGAGATACCTGAACCCCGAGCACGAGGACGAGCTCTACCACGAGAGATACAGCTCCGCCGCGGTCATGTTCGCGACGATCCTCGACTTCTCGTCGGAGGAGGAGGTGGACTCGGCCGGGAAGCGAGAGGAGCCCTGGACCGCCCACCCGCCGGGGGCCGAAATGAAGAACGCGCTCACCTTCCTCAACAGCATCATCAGCGACTTCGACGAGGTTCGTTCGTCGCGTTCGTCGACTCGGGTAACGCGAGGCCCGCGGACGAGTTCGTGTGCATCTTGACTGCAACCATAGGAAAAATCAGTATAGCACGCAGCCATGATGTTGGCAGAAATTAGGACATCTCTACATTTTACTGTACTGTATCCTCAATTTGCAAATCACGGTGGATTTCGGAGTCTCTCCTATTGTCCTCGCATTCCACTCCCAGAGTTCCAGCCGGAAACTCCGGGAAGATACAAGGTTCAATAAACCTTTTTTTATTTCCCCCTAGAGGATGCATCTTTGCTCCCAGTGGAGCTAGCTGTGCAAATTATACATTTTTGGAAAGCCCTGGACGAGATTTTTCGATTAAGTCTATTTTTGTTGCTAAATATCTGATCTGGACGAAGTTACATACATTTACCAAAATGGAGTTGGGCTTCAGACAAATTCCTCAAAAGAGGTTTTCAATTGCTAAATGATGCTTCGTCCATTCTCCATCCAGTTCTCACGTGTCCTCCATTCACATTCATGCATTTCAAAACCTGTTTTGAAGACTTTATCAAAGGGGGTTCGGGCTTCGGATGTATGTAACTTCGTCCAGATGTGAGTTTTTCAGGCAAAATAGCTTCAATCGAAAGATCTCGTCCAGGGCTTGCCAAAAATGTTTAATTTGCATCGTTTCTGGGAATAAAGATAAAGTCCTACTAGTAAAATAAATAAATAAAGGTTTACTATGGACCACCCTTTACATGTAATAGATTTTACAGTATCTCAAAATCGAAGGCATCCATTGAAACCTTTTCGGTAGTGCTGAAGAGGACAATACTGTTTTTTTTTCACATTTTGGAAATCGACCCACTGGGTACGTTAGGAGATGACGGGGGCGTTAGGGCGCTTTCAAGTCATTTTGCAAATGACTGGAAGATGCCAAGAAATGACCAAATTTTCTGGGCATTTCATGAAATGCACTCCGACAGAACTGCTTTTCCCGCGTGCGGAAGTCGCCATCTTAGAGTGATCTCTTCCGCTCATGGAGCAGAACGGGAACGGTAGCGCATGATTCAATGTTATACCCTTACGAAAATGTCTTACAGGATTCCTATATATTCCTATAAGAATCCTATAGGAACCTAAAGGAATCCTATAGAACCTATAGGAAAGTCTATAGGTTTCCTATAAGAAATAGCTAAAGGTTTCCTATAGGACATTTCCGTAAGGGATCACTCCGGTAGCAGAATGGGAGAGCATAGTAACTCGGGACACTGGAAACTATGGGCCCAGTAACTTTTTTTCGGCTTTCGGTATGTTATTGTCCGAACGCTGATGATTTAAAATTGTTATTACTTCTTCACAAAGTGAAAAATCCGCTTCAGGAGTCGCTGGGATTCTTGGGCGAACAGCATTTTTTTTTTCGGTCTTCAGTTCATGTGAAGATGAGGAATGCATTCGGATCCTCTTGCTGCGACTCTCTACTACTTGGCCTCAAGCTAACCCATACGTTAAGGCGTCGGAGCCGCGATACCGTCTGGAAAATGTCTTATGCTTTTCTTCCCTCCCGATTCCCGCGCAGCTCCTGTTCTCTCCTTTCAAGAAAGTGCAGAAGATCAAGTTGATCGGGACGACGTACATGGCAGCCGTGGGGCTGGAGCCGGGCAAAGAAAGACCGGTGGATCCGGACATGTACGACGTTGATCCCGCAGCGGCCGCCCTCAACAGCTCCACCATGGTCGCCTTCGCCGTCACCCTCATCGACCGCCTCCAGCAGTTCAACCGAGACGGCAACCAAAATCTCAGCCTTCGGATCGGTAACCGAAAGAGGGCGATCGAGGTGAGGGCGACGAACGATCGATGGGTTGACGATGATGTTTTTGCAGGGATCGCGTGCGGCCCCCTCGTAGCGGGGGTGGTCGGAGCGGAGAAGCCCCTCTACGACATCTGGGGGGACACGGTGAACATGGCTTCCAGGCTGGAATCCACCGGAGAACGATGGAAGATCCACATCATGGAAGACGTGAACAATTACCTCCGACAACAGGACATCGGCTGTGTCTACCGAGGCCTGACCAAGATCAAGGGGAAGGGCCACCCCCTCCCCACGTACTTCGTGGACCTCGACAGGTTCAGGAAAAAGGGACCGGCACCGATCGACACCGACGACCTGGACGACTCGGGTTCCTCCGGCCATCTCCCCGTGGATATCAAAGACAGCATCGCAAAGTATCTTCACCAGACGTCGCTCGATATGAACAGCCTGTACGAAATCTTTGATCCGGATGGTAATAACGTCGTCAATCATGAACATCCTAGTCGTGATGGATAGGGGAGGGAATGAATGAATAAATAAAGTTATATTATCTCACTTCTGCCATGTCCCTCTTTGAGTAGGCGTAAAGATTCAACTCATTCCCTTGCGAAAATCCTGAAATATGTGAAACCATCGTTTTTGAAGGCTCTGAACCCCAATACCCGGAAACGAAGCCACTAAATTAGACCTTAGACATCTGGTTGATCCTGGCGTCTTCACTCTTTATCTGATTCATTGGAATTCCTGCAGAGATTCATCACCCACGTGTGAATGGTGCCATGACATGCGAATCCAGAGTAGTTACTCTCGAGAGGGCCAGGAACGACTGACCGGCATTTATGGTCTTTGGCACCAACATTGACATCTGCCTTCTCCAGAGTTGGTTGGTGTATTGGTAGTGCCCAGAGTAGAGTAAGTGAAAACCCAATTCCCCACGTTACTTTTCCACCTTGGTAGCAACTTGGTGCGAGTAGCATCCTGTTCCATTCGCTTTCTCTTCGAATTTGGGGATTCTGCTAGGCGCCTCTGCTCTGCGGCTTTCCGAGCTTGGTCTCCTTTTTCGCTCCCGACTAGGCATTACGAGTCTGAGAAGGGCTTTTCGCGCTTGGATCTCAATATCTAGTAGCTATTACGAACCAAGGCACAATATTTCGTTACCATGTACGATACGGTTGTCTACGTCATGGAACTGCCTACCTCATAGGTCCGAAAGATGCGATGAGATGGAAATACGACTGACTAAGAAGTTTCTGACCAAAGTATCACCGCAATGAGCGGCGCTCGAGGGCTCCAGAGGATCAAGCGAATGTTCAGGGAACTTAGGGGACAATCGTATGAGAAGCCTTTAGAAGTGTTGGGGTTGCACTCGCTCGAAAGAAAGTTAACGAGGGGGGATGGGAAGAAGAAGATGGTAGAGCGGTTGACTAAGAAGTTTCTGGCGAAGAATCACCTCTACGAGGAGGAGAGCACTTTCTTTTCTCAACTCCCCTAAGTTCACCCTCGAGGAATTCCAGCACTAAATCGCAACAACGGTGATTCATTCGCCATCACTCTTCTCTCTCGAAACTTTGTTTATTCAAGTATTCGCCAGATGGCAGGCTGCAGTTCGATCATTTCATAACCCATTCTCTTATTCCTCTTGACCTCGTGCAACGATTTGATCGAGCCCACGGGCTTTCATATATATTTTTAACTTGATGTCTATCCAATTGGCAACCATGACGTCAGAAGCCGCTATCGGCAAATTTTATCTCCCATTGCGGAGTTGAAAATAAGGAAAATAAGCCTCGAGAAACGTGGGAAAACGGTACGTCGGAGCAAGTTTTGTCCTGGACAGACACACATGCGAAGAAGGCAATTTTCTGTGGTAGTCAATGCTTTTTTTCGCAGGTGTTAGTTGTTGAACCTTTATTCATTAAGGTCGACTTACCTCATTGAAGTTTGAACGACGCTTGTGAAAAGACATCTGCGCACAAACTCGGCAAGCGACAAATGCATTTCTCATAAGTGTGGCATGCAAGCATGAATTGCGTACCTTAGTTGTGCCCGGGACAGCTGCTTTTGCACGGCATCACGTCGTCATCTGCGTGGATTTTACGAAAATCGACCCCGAGGGTTTGCGCTACAGCATCCCTGTCTGTCCGCAGTTTCCATAGCAACCGGACAACTTGACTCAGCGCGCATGTGCAGCACTCCGCCTGGGTCGGGGTGCCAGGCAACGACTAAAACTTGCAGTTCTCTTCCAGCCTTCGCGGATGACGGATCCCCAGAAGGAAAGGGGAGAGAGCAGGTGCTATTGGCAGCGTGGACAGGGTTGCCGAGCGTAATAGTGGAAACTCGAATCTGGCACCCAACCAGTTCCGTCCAGCCTCATCCTTCGAACTCAAAACTTCGCTCAATATTTCCTAGACTATACCAGGAGCTCCCATTCCACGTTTCACTTTTACGTTTTTCACGGCAATTATTAAGATCTTCCACATCCCTTTGCATAAGACCATTTTCGAGTCATTTGAGTTTTCCCGGTAAGAATCACCCTGCGTCCTCGAAGCTTTAATCGATTTGGTGAGACCACACTAGGAGAAGTGCCAAATTGCCAATTTTTTTAACGAATTTTTTTTTTCGGCGAAAAGGTATATCATACTGAGCGCAAATTTCTTGTAAATATATAATGCAGGATTTTGCGTGAAATGAGCAGGGAAAAAATTGCTTGGAGTTTCTGGAAAGAGAACGTGTTTCTTTCTTTCCCCTTTTCTAGCGATTTCCGGGACGTTGTAGCAGTTCGCTATATTTTGGCTCCGGAACCGGTGCTGGTTTTGAATACGTCGCAGTTCTCGTTCCGCCAGTTGGTCGTCAGGAGAGGTTCGCATTAAAAAATAAAATCCTCACGGACGTGCAAGGTGGTAAAAAGGAAAAGCTAAAAAAAAATAGTGCATTACCCATTGCATCATCAGGTGCAAAGTTGAATGACGGGAACATTAGGTGCAGAAGTGATAAGTCTGATGGACAGAAAGGGTGAAAATGAATCTGAAGTCGATGAATATCGCAAGGAACAAAGAGACAGAGGAAATTCGAACAGAAAGCGAGCATTCTTCACGAAGAATGACATCAGCAATTATGGGTGAAAGACAACCGAAAGATCAACGTAAAATAGTGATGAGTTCGCTATAACCAGACAAGATACGGGGGAAAAAAAAGCGACAGCATCAAGTAAGCTTCAAATATGAAGTAAAAAGTATGAAACACCATCACTCTCAGTGGTCACAATGAAAAAATGTCATGCTATATACTGGAATGAGATCATCTGATACCGATCCTGTAGCAAGACTTTATTGGATTTCAAGGATATTTTTGGAGGGGGAGTGAGAGAGGGGGTTCCTGCACTTTCCCCCTCCCTCTCCCCCTCCCCCTCCCCTTCCTCCTCCTCCCCCTCCCCCTCCTCCCCTTCCCCTTCCCCCTTCCTCCTTCCCAAAGCATTCTTTCACGTATTGGGTAGGGAACGACCCCTAATCAACATACGACTGTGGGACTATTAGGTAATCTCGGGTTTGGTACAGCAAATTCAGGAAAGAAAACCCACCATCGGAATTTCAAAATAATTACACATTCATATTAATATTCAAAGGATTTAAATTACAAAGGATGCTGAAATAAAATATTGGAGGGACAACACCAGAAACACCAGAAACACCAGAAAAACGTCTCACAGGCAAATCTCTATTTGATCCCCGCCCCACCCCACAAGCTGCTCCTCGCTCTTGCTCTCCCTATACCTCTCTCTCTCTCTCTCTCTCTCTATTCTCCTTCGACTCCTCCTTTTCCCCCGGGTCTTTCCGGATGAAGCCGATAAGGTTTTCCGTTCCAGATTATTAGTCCGGATGTCTCATCCTGGGGCATTACTGGTCAACAAGGTCAGGATATCCGTTCCCGGAGAAGGGCTGCTTTTATCTTTCTATTACATCCTGCGTCTTGTATCGGGTCCCTAGGTACGACCTTCTTAATGAGCTTTTTAATATGCTTCAATTCCTTCCCTGTGATCAGGTATATAAGTAATACTTTTGAAACATTTTTTCGGCACAAACAAGCGCAGACTCGAAGAAGGCCGCTTTTTGCAATAGATGCGAGCAAAAATTATCATATCGCATTAATGACGACCTATATAAAGGTACTAGGTCTTTGGGATTCCTTGAGGCATTCGGGAAAGGGGGATTCTCCCCAGGCGAGTCGTTCGCCTTCTTCCCATCCCTCTAACATCGCGATGGTGTTCACGGACCCTCCGAGGACGAACAACCGACCTTCATCGTCCTTACCCAGGCCGTGATTATACCTCGGAGTTTGCAAGGAAGGCCAGGCGGAGGAGAAGGAAAAGAAGGGGGAGGAGGACCCCTCCCACTTCCCGGCCCTCAAATCCAAGCCGTACACCTTGGAGGTACTTTCCCTCTCGGACGTCTTACCACCGACGAGGAGGACGTGAGTCTCCCTCCACACGATGGCAGCTGCTCTGTATCTCGGCTCTGGGATGTCGCCGAGAGACTCGTACCGTCTCGTGCGTGGGTCGTACAGGAGAGCCTCACCGCTGACGCCGTTTCCCCATCCACCGAGGAGGAGGATCGTCCCGTCCTGCAATGCCGCCCCGGCTGCTGCGTCCGTCCGTCGAGGAAGAGGGGGCAGAGGAAGCCACGTCCCGCATCCCTCTCCGGGGATGAACACCGCTGCGGCCGACGCGAACGTCTCTCCGTCTCCTGGTCTGCCTCCCCCGAGAAGATAGAAGCGTTTCTCGGGCACCAAGCATGGAACCAGACACGTATCGTTGGAAATGTTAAACGGGGCCTCGGAAGAAAGAGAGCGAACTGGGAAAAAAGGAACCGGGACCGCAGACGAATCGTCTCCCAACTCCACCACGAACGTCTTTCTCCGATGAAATGCAAAGATCCGATCCCTCATCCCTCCCCACGTCCCCCAAAACAAGTCCACACCCTCACGATCCCGAGCATCCCTGACGACCCTGCTCGCCGCCCGAAGGAAGGCCCACGAACTTTCAGTAGATGAAAGAGCCAGGACGGCGATCCCCTTCCACCCGCTCTGGTCTGTCACCCCAGCCACCATGCCTGTGTGAGGAAAGAAGCAACGAGGGTCGAAGGAAGAGGAAATCATCAGTCATGTCGGTCGTGAAATTGTATGCATTGGAAGATAAGCCTTTAAAATTAAAATAAAAACGCTGCCGCTTTGAATAATGTGCACAGCTCTCCGTCGCGCATGCGCAGAAGGCAGGAAACCGAAAACCCGCTGGGAGCAGAATGCCAGATCTCGTGGACTCGAAAGTCGCATCGCGATTGGCTCCTGCAAGACCATCCCCCTCGCGCATGCGCAGAAGGCAGAAAACCGAATGCGCTGGGAAGGTAGCGGCGACGAACACTTGCGATTCGGACGCCTTCGCGCCTGGAGCTTCGAGCTCCCAGAACTGCATCGAGTGGTGCCTTCCGGAATTTCCTCAAATTCACCGTTTGATGCAGCATTACGTGCTGACTTGGAGGCACATTCAATTCGCGTTGCTTCGTCTTAGCGGTTCGTCTCAAAGCGGATCGATTTCATTTCATGGCTCTACAGAGAAACTTGCACGGAACCGAGCAAACGCAATACTGCTGGATTCCTGGAATTCATTCATTCCAGGCAGTCACTCCAGGAAATGAGAGCTTCGAGAAGGAAGATAACGCTTCCATCCAACGCGTTCGCACTCTGACGAGCGACAAGCACAGTAGGAAATAGTTCTAGTTATCAAAAGACTGGTATCGAACTCCTCTTGAAATAGTTCTAGAGCTACCGAGTGATTCGCATATCAATTGATTTTGGAAGGGAGCTCCAAAGCAATTCCAATTGCTGAAATTCCCGAAATCGTTTTGAAGGCGTGCAACCCTCGAAATGTTCCGGTCGGAACTTATTGATAATATTTACAAGTTGCGAGGCTTGTGATGAGGATGCGAGCCTACTTTGGCGGTCGGGAATCGACCATGCGAATAAACACAGGAATTCATTGACAAAAAAAAACTTATACTTGAACGTGACTCAAATAATGTTTCAAGGAATGGTCGCATCTTTGCGGGACACCCTGTCGATTGATACGGTCAGGGAATTTTAATAAAATTCTTATCTTTTATATATATTTTTTCTCATGCTCCATTGACGCCACGGCACGCTAAAGTTGCATTTTCGTTTTGGTTCTGGAATTTAACTAAATTCTTTTTCCTCTCTTTTGTTGGCATCATGCTCCATTCACACGATCCAAGGATAATCCCAGATGAACCCATCTTAAAACCCCAGCTGGAAACAACTGATTTCCTACCTCCTTCGGGAAGGCCCGTCTGAGGCATTTCAAAGCGGTCACTCAGATTTGAACACCAGGCTCGTGCACTTCACAGCGGTCACTCGGGACTCCTCGGCCGTCGACGCTCTAAAGTCCCATTTCCTTCTGAACCGCTCATTCCAAGCGGCGGAGCAGCTGAGAAGTCTCGATTGCATCACGTGGATGCAATCGCAACGTTTACTCGCTGATTCATTCGCGCGGCAGGCTTCTTTCATCGCACTTTTGCTCGAGCCTCGACGGAAGAGGCTGAACCGCGCAGAGCCACGAAGTCGAGCGCAGGACGAAGCTCTGGAATCTCATCGCTCATTCATCCTGCTCAAGGCAATCGGCAACGATGCAGGGCTTGACTCGAGCGCTCGACCGGACTTCCCTCGAGAGAGGGATGCGAGTGAGCGCAGCGCTGGACGCGGTCGGGCCGGCGATTTCATCGCTTTTAGGGAGAGGGCGCGCGAGTGAATCTGGCCAGCTCGAGTATTTTTCAGATGGGAGTTCTTGCCAAACCGAAGTGGAAGGTTGGTATCTCTAAATTAGATACGTTACAGCAGCACCGACCGATACGGGTTCATCAGAAAGGGCAGAAACAGGTCTTTAAGAAGAGTCATAAATAATCGAGTTCTTGTCCATAGTTGAAAGCGAGGAAGCAAACATTAACGGAGGGTTTCGCTTCTCTGGAAATGTCAGATTTGGCTATCACGGTACCCGAGAGTTCCCGCGAAACAGAAGCCATGAAATTGCGGTCGTCGATCTCGGTTCGGTAACATTCATCACTCTAGAACCAGATCCGGAGGTACTTAAACTCCTCCGCCAGTTCTGGCGGGGCCCCTGACGCATGGGGGTCGCTTCCCAGGGTTTTCCCCAAGAGATCGCGATATGGATTCCTTGAGACGACGAATTTCATTCCAGCCGCACTGCATTTGGAATCGAATCGATGAACTGCGCTCTGAAGTTCCCGCCTGAACTGAGACAAAATGACGGCATCACCAAAGAAAGCTGCTTCGTCTCGACACCAGCGACATTGAGCTTCTCCAGGCCCAGACGGCGCCCTCGGATCCTGTCTACGTACACGAGGAACGAGAAAAGCAACTCTGGCGAAGCCCAACGCCAATCGAGAGAGGATCCTTCGTTTATGCCGCCCACTCAAGCTCAACGCCTGCATTCCTCGTGATCTGGCGATTGTCAGAACCAAAGCCATTAAGTAAAAAAAGAAAAATGTCCTGGAATCACTAAAAGCTATGACCACTCGCCTACGGGACCTCCAGAAAGAGAGACATCCTTTTCCTAAGGCAATTAAATTTCATCTCATCACATCACACATAACCGAGGGGAGAACTTCCCCATCCTGAATTATTCACCTCCGTTGAGTTTTTAATATGGATTACTGGCCTTAACAGTTTTAACTAAGGGAGATTCGTCTTGGGCACAATGCCCCTCAGGTAAGAGGTAAATGATACAATACCATTAGATGACTGCTGTAGATAAGGTAAAAGCTGCATAGCTTGATTGGATTTGAATTAGGATCAATCTCTTCTTTCATATTAATATCTCGAATTTTGTACTTTAGTTCCATGTGACAGTAAATAAATATGACAGTTTATATTTTGTTGTTTTCTTTTCATACACTTCAATTCACATTCTCAGATAATTAAATTACGAAGACACTGAAAGTTATAATGCACATGCACAGGAAGAAATCCAAAAGGATCCGGAAGATCACATCTGGAAAGGAAACAGATCTTCTCTCCGAAAGGAATTTGGTGGCAACAAATCCCCCAAAAGTCTCCAACCGGACCTCCACTTCGCCCGAGTCCCACACAGCTGAGATCGATCGCCACACCATCCATCACAGGCACAGAGAATGCACACAGTCCTTCACTGCACGGAAAGGAGTGGTTTTTCCCGCACGTTACTCCAATAGTCGAGCCAAGCCTTGACGCGAGGATTGCTCCGGTCACCAAGCCGGCGAAGCTCCTCGTAGTAAGCTGCACGGATGACCTTGAAAGCACGAATGTTGTGATATGCCACTCCCGTCACTGGGTCTCGATACTTGGCTGGTTTCCTGTATCAGGCCAATGGGGAAATAGCCATCTTAGCCAGACGGAAAAATAAATTCTCATCTAGCCCAATAGCCATAGCATTTTGCATACGTGCTTTGTGAGTGTCCGTTCCTCCTGCTGAATGAGATAACGTAAGACGAAGATGTGCTGATACATTAAGTTCTCTTAACAGAAATTAAACATTAAAATAATAAGACCCATCTCCCGTTTCTAGGTGACTTCACTACAAGGCAACGCAGGAAACATCAACGAAAAGTTAAATCTTCCGGCTCAACCGAATAACTTGTCTATCTCTTCATTATAGGAAACAGCTTTGTAAGCCCATTGGAAAGATACACATACACGAAAATCATTTGCAGTACCAGGTTACAAGTTGAAGCTACGAAGGATGTGGAGCCATGACATTGTTGACTTTAGTCAATCTAATGTAGTGAAGCATTGCTAGATTCCTTTCATTTCAGGTCAGTTCAAATTCAAGAAATAGATGGTCCAGTTACAACACCATCATGATGGGCTCCCTCCGACAGAGACAAAGGTTTCCCAGCTTCTGATTAATTGAAAAGAAATGCCAGGATAGTAAAAAAAAAAGCAAGAAAAATCTGTCAGGCTTCATTCAACTGAAAAGTGTTCATGTTTCTAATGTGAGAAAGGACCAAACTACAAAAGAAAAGTGTCAATGAACGCTTACCTGGTAATGGGGCAGATGATTTTTGGGGGGTACTTTCGCTTCACCCGGGAGAAGTTGCTCAGAAAATTTGCATCATTGGGAAAGCTGATGAAAGTACGACTGTATTTCTTCCCTGAATCGGTTCCATCAATTTCCTCTATGAGCGGCATCGTGGTAGAATGGTACCGAATGCATGGAACCCTCTCCATCTTCTTCACATTCCGCACTTTCTTCTTCTCCAACTCCATCAGCTGATACTTCTCTGTGGGTCAGGCAACAAATGTCTGTTCATAATTTCTGCTCAGGACTCCAGATTCTCTAGTATCCAGTAATCCAACGCTGACACATCATAACCCAAACTGCTAAAAATCCATGTTTGCATTTGTCTCCATAGCACTGAAAAAATTATGATGATCAGAAATTCATCGCATTCATGATTCTTTTCTCCTGCTACAAATTCTCAAATAAGTCAAAAAGGTTCCAGCACTGAATATTATATAGTACTTTGGCTTTCATGAGGCATATAACCTGCGAACACACTCCTAAATTTTGCTTGCAATGCCCTTTCTTGACTCCTGGTGACAACTCCAGGTGACTCATAATAAACGTTCCTTTGTGCATCCTTCAGAACTCAAACATCAGCAAGGTTCTTTATTTATTGTTACTACAGCTATGGAAAACAACTAGAAGGCATGGGGCACTTCACATTTGCAGCCCTGTCTCTTATTTAATCAAGATGGCCTTCTATAACTCTACTACAGAATGAGACGAGACCACAAGTATGTTGAAAAGATTGATGCCATACTTGCTCAAAATCCATTCCGTAGGCACAGAATCTGTGTCTCATTCCTGTCGTAAGAAAATGAATTGAATGGCAATGTCACACTACCCTAAATGCGAAGATACAGTCGACGCTCGATATAACGAACCTCCATATAAAGAATTTTCTCTATTACAATTTTTGTTTTTCAAGTTCCCAGCCGTTCGCCCATTCAGACGCATGTCGAAAAGTTTCTGTATAACGTAGTTCTGTATAGAGAATTGTTCGGTTTTGCGAAATGATTTTTTCGTCCAAAGGAAGAAAACCGTTCCGTATGACGAAGTGCAAGTCCGCTGCACGCATCAGAGCTAGTTTCTCTCGCGCATTCTCGAGAAAATCTCATCTTGTATCTAAATTTATCACGTCCCACGCAATCGTTGGAAGCCTTCGACAATCCCCGGCTATTTTTCGGTCCAAGGGCAGAAATGTCGAGCCTGAAAATTTTCAACCATCGCGAGTTCTGCAAGCCACGGCCGGAAGAATCGTCCAGGAAAGCCCGCGGCTGACGACCATTTAGGACTCTGTTTCCGATGAATAGAATATGTTCCTGACTCGTTCGATTTTTATTGTACCTACATGAGGACGCAGTTCTGTGCACGCCCACTCGTACATACAGGCATTTTCGAAGTCGTATTTTTGCAATACGATACGCGCCCAGACTCTTGCATCTTTCCACGAATGGAGGTCTGCATCCTTTGGCAATAAATGACATTCGCTGCCTCTTTTTTCAGCGCAATGTGGGAAATTCCCTATAACGAAATCTCCTAATAGCGGAATTTTTCACCCTGTCCCCTCGAGTTCGTTACATCGAGCGTCGACTGTACCTAGAAGATTGAGAACGAACAGTGACCCACCCATGAACTGCCAATACATCCAATCATTCTTTCATCTTCAGAATCGACTTCTAGATTCAGTGGCTGAAATCCTCGCCCACTACCTTACTAACTATTCCTTTGCACGAACAGGAAGTACTCACCCAGAGACTTGAGGTTTTCCCTTTCGGTTTCCTTAGCCTCCTCAAGGAGCTCTTCCTGAGTCAAGTGACGATAAACAGGCTTTGTGTGTTTCTTCTGCTGCTTCATTTCTGCTCGGAGCTGCTGTCGACGCGCTACCTCTGCCGACTTTGCCTGGGTCGACTTCCGGATCTGCCGCTTTGCTAAAAACGCATTCTGTTTACTGAAGACTTCGACTTAACTTTGAAAATAAAGGTCATACTGGCCATAAAGTGAGATTTGCAATGAAGTCCAGGTTTTCATTGAACTGAAACTAAAAATTACAGTTTGGACTTATTTTCAAAATTTTCAAGGCTTAAGAAAAAAAGCTCAGTCGATTCAGCAAAAGGGCCAGAATCTTCAACATTAATCATAGCATACAATATTGAATCCCAATCCATCCAAATACTGGATTTGGAATAATATTTTAAAGACATGCTCCCAGGCATGATACAATGGCAAGGGGCCAGTGCTAGAGACAGGCTATGCCATTGTGAAACATTACCAAAATTGATTATTTACAATGGATAGTCATAACATTATCATTTTTCAGAGAAATGAAGTAATATGGTAAGTTGTTCCAACACACACTCAAAAACAACTTATAGAATTCCTTACGAGGACTTGAAGATGCCCAGGTCAGCTTTGCCCCCTTGGCCTTTGCTTTTGTCCTTTGAAATTTTCTTTCTGCAGGCTGCTTTGTGGTAGCTTTCTGCTTTGGCTCCTGTGTGAGATATGAAAAGAAATTGCAAACAGTATTAATGTCGATCGAACCTGCAACAATCTCTCACTATGCTGGTTATCTAAATAGATTTTTTCTCAGAGAAACCGTGCAAGCATTGTTTTGAATGCTTCAGTGCAAGACCGCTTAACTCTGGTCATAAGGTGCAGCGGTTGCGCTAAGATTCTCGCTCTGGCCTCCTGCCCATGCATCCCGGGGGTCCTGGGGACCCCCGGGACGCACAGGCAGAAAGTCCAAGACTGCCGGGTTGAATATCATACTGCCTGGTTATGTTAAGTCGGCAAATACACATGGATTGCTGGACTTTTCCTTTTGGGGAACCCTTCAAGATTCCCTTGTGCTTCACTTGGAAAGTAATCCCCTTAATTATCAGGGGACCTTTCCATATCAGACCTGAGGGTCCCAGGGAGAAACAGCAAGAAACCTAGCACAACCATTGGATTATCCAATTTTTTTTTATTACAGTCAGCATTTACCACATTCAAACAGCAGAATTTAGAATGAACTGTGGAACATGCCATTGGAGCTCGATTTTTGAAATGTATAATGCACGCAGGCATGAAAAAAAAGAGAGATTGAAACATTTAATTTTGAGTCTGGTGTGACAATTGAGTTGCAATGGCAATTTCCTTAATTTTCTTAACTACCTTTTGCACATCTTTTAAGAGGAACTTCAGGAAAAACTCAAAACTGTTCTGAAAACAGTTTCTGTTTTGAACAGAAACTGTTAAAAAAAAATTCCCTTCACCTCTATTTTCCTGCAAGTTTTCACTGGATAGAACTGGATAACTTGGATAAGAAAATGGGTTGACAATTCTGGGACACCTAAAACTGGGCTAAAAAAAAAAAAAAGAGGAAAACCTGTATACCACCCACAGCAGCCTTTACTTCCAGTAAGAAAGGTATATTTATTTATACTGTTCCCACCTTGTATGCCTTGGTGATAACACCTGATCTTCGTTTTTTTTCTTTTCCTTGTTCCCCTTCATTGTCAGAAATCACCTCATCATCTTCATCAATATCAAAATCTGAATCAACCACATCTTCTTCTGAGTCTTCAGATCTGTCAAGAAATCACATCAGTTTATTTCATCAACTGTTCATTCACAAACACAATATAATACTTCATTACCATATGAACTGCAAAGTTGAGATATATCATTAGGCAGTTTGGGAGAAACCTCTCATACTTTTGAATCTACTGTACCTTTTAGAGAAGGGAAAGGATATTTGGAATTCCAAGAAAATTTCAAATTACTGTCTATGCAAGTACAGTGAACCCTGCAGTTGGTCTTCAATTGACATGGGCCATGACTTCACTTTAGTTACTCTTGTTCAATTGAAGGAATGATAAACATGAACTCTTTCAAAAAATTAACTGTTAAACATTAGCATCTGACTTTTCATCAACAGGGCTGGGATTTGCTCCAACTCATTTCTTTGGCAGTGTTAATAACACATAGGTTTACTTTTACTTTTAAAGTGGTACACAGAAAACATTAATGTGAGACTCCCCCCCCCCCCAATTCCACCAGCCATTCACAAGAATAAATGTGAAATCCAGGTCCTCTTTGGCCCTCAATACATACAACAATAATGACTCACTGGTAATCCCTATCTCCTTCTTCTTCCATAAATCCTCCATAAGTGGTCTTGTAGAAATCTTCTTCCTCCTCTTCATTTAGCAGGGATGCCATGCGGTGCCCTGCTTTGGCACGCCGCTCCCTTGTACTTGCAAGTGACATTGTCACTCTTCAATTCCTACACACACCAGATTACGAACTTGGCATGATGAGTGATGAAAACCAGGTCTATCGACCATGTATAATTTTAAAACCTAGCTTTTGTAGCACTTTTGTGTCAGCTCAGTGCAGTCTCAGCCCCATTGCATATCAGTCTTAATGGGTCATGGAGTTATCACATTGCCATTACATCTGAATACATTAAACTTACTTGTGCTGAGAAACCATTTGCATGACATTCAGATATCACTGAGTCACTGAAGTTGGCCACCTTCATGTAAGAGTTGACTGAAAATGGAAAATTACTGGAAGGAGATTCTAATTTTGGTTTTCAAATCTGCTTACATCAAATCTGTCACAAAGTCTCAATGCTTTGTGATATCCTTGTGGCAATCATATAAAAAAAAATGCTCAAAGACTGATTTCTATACTATAGGTCTGGGCTTATTATATGCCCAGGCTAACAGGAGCTAAAAGCCTATAGGTCTATCAAAGAAATATATTGCATGCTCTAAATTTTTATTAAACTTGGAAAATGATACCCATTCTGTGATCTGGTTTCTGCTATAGGTGCTTCTGGATTACCAGGCTCTGCTAGGAATTTCCAGACAATTTACAGGCTCTGCTACCCTATTGCTTAAGCTTGAAATGGAGATGCTAATTCATCAGTCCTAGTTCTTTGGCATTGAAACATCAGCCTGTGTCTCACCTCATCTGGTTGCAGAGGTCACTTATCAGTTATGTCATCTCATGTACAAAGGGGAATAGATACCATAACCCTACTGTGGTCCTAGGTCAATTACAGCCAAGGAGTTGTTTCTATAGGCTTTGCATTTTCAAAAGCTGAACCAGAAATCTTTGGGGGCTAAACAAACTCCATATAAGCAGGAATTATTTGAAGTACCTGCTAGTCCATGCAATCACCATACATCTGTTTTATTTGTTCCATATATGAATAACACCCCTGTTCTAGTTATCCAATAATATGGAAGCAAATTTTTTACTATTTCTAACACTTTCTAACATGATTACACCATGTCATAAAAGCTGCAAAACACCATGGCTACCATGGCTCAGAAGGGGATCTGTCTCTTGCATACTATGTTTCCATATGGGATTATCACCCTATGAGAGGTGCTCAACCTCACCATGCATTCCTTAAGGAATGCTGCAGGGCACTGATTTCAAACTCTCAGTGGCAATGTTTGTCCTAGTGGGATTTAAATTTTCAGAAAAATAACATTTTAGCCATTAGCCAAATTGCACCAGAAATTTTAGGGACAGCATTTTGACTGGAAAAAAAAAACAATCCATAGGGCTTTCAACAACTTTTAATAGGTACCTTATCTCACAGACTCAAATTATCAAATCACATACAAGGGCTTAGTATCACTGAGATATGACTTTCTCCAAATGGAGTTGAGACACCTGTTGAGGGCTTGGCATCTCAGCTCCAAGTGCCACCCCTTTGTACTGGTCCTCCATTTCTTGCTCTTCACACATGCACAATCTTGGGAAGCCATCAATACACAAGAGTAGATGGCAAAGGAATGTCCTGTTCAGTTATATGTGACTTTTCAAAGTTCTCATTACCTATCATTTGAAGAGCAAACCCCTGGGATGTTCTTCCATAGTAGATTCATTGGTTTTTCACCCACATTTTCATCTTCAAGCCCAGACAAGGATGACGAATCCATACCATCCCCCTTTAAAAAAAAAAACAAGAAACAACCTTTCCCTTATAATCCCTTATCCTCTACAAATGAGAATGATGGAAGGGAGGTAAAAACAGACACAATAAATGTAATAACCAAAATCATGACATCAGTTCAAAGCAGGTACAATTGATACATGTAAAAGAGGTCTACTTAAATCAAGAAAAGATTTGTCTTCAAGAAAGAAGAAAGGTTGTCTCCACTCTAGAGGAGTGGAGACAACCTGAATTCTATGGACACTTCTGAGTCCAAGCTACCAGACATTGCTGGATCTGCTGAATCTTCCTATTCTCAGTTCCCAATAGTTTGTATAAGAAGTCTAAGCAATGGGAAGATAGTGGAGAAGGCAAACAAAAAAAAGTTCATTTCCTCGAGAAAACTCATCTCACCACAAAATTCAAGCTGCAAAATCTAGATTTGATCATGAAGCCAAGACCACTGCTTCAGAAGAATAGCATTGCCTTTATGAGAAGTGTAACAGCTGAGTGCATAAATGCTTAGGAGTGCTTAAAGGATCATGAACCAGTCAGGTAAAAATGCCAAAATGACAATGCTATTATTTTTCATTAACATAATTTGATGGTATATGTCATCAATAAGCCTTTTTTTTTTTTAAATTGTCCTGATGACAAACTGTGAAAGTTATAGCCAATTGTGGTGTGAACTACACAAAAGTCTGGAGGAGGCATCTACTGCTTTCAGAGATTCCCAAGGCAACCATTACATCATAAAAACTGCCAATGCAGTGTACTTTGTAGCTGTGTCTATAGGACTTTGTTATAAAAATATGATACCAAGGGGTTAACTCTTTCAGTGATCTTTACCATTCACACTATAAGATAAGTTTGGCTATCAATTGCATCCGGGATCACAACTTTTTTTTTCATAAATAAATCAATTTCATATATCTTCACTCCCCATTAAAAGTTGATAACACTGACAATCATGAAAGTTGAAAGATGATAACATAAATTGGGCAAATGACATCTTGGTATGGCATACTACCATGTCTTCTCATGCAGTCCCATTTCCTGCCAAAGTCCTAATCTATTTGCCCAAAGAATTTCCATGGGTTGAACTTATATAACCTGATATTCACCTAACAGGTCAGATCTGGGATTAAGAAGGGTGTTTGAGGTACCTCTATGAAGACCAGCTCCACTTCAAAATATATTGACAATTAACTCCTAATATTTTGGGAGGCAACAGAAAGACATACAACAAACACAAAACTCATACTCTAGTTCCTGTCTTTTTTCACTTTGAAACAGGATGCATTGTGGTCAATGGCTTTGGGGGAAGTTGCACAGTAATTTCCAACAAGCAAGACATACCTGTACACAGGAACAATAGAAACATATTTCACTTGAAAAGGCTAAAAATAATCTATAAGAGTAAATTATATTGATTAATATACTTGATCTATGGTGTTTTCATCAATTTAGAACAGGTTTAGTGAAATGTGCATTGCATGATTGCTTGATATCTGCCTAACTCCTTGCTGCAGCTGAAGTCCTTTTCACATTTTGAGACCCCTAGAAGTGGAATTTTTTGGAGTCTTTTCTCCTAAATCCATACATGTAGCAGAGACAACTGCACATGTTCACTCAAAGAAATATTGAAGAACAACTTTTTCTCATGGGTGTGATACTGGAAAGAGGTCTTCAAAATTAAAGCTCCAGCCTAAAGAGGATGACTATCTGAGGAAAAGCCTCTACTGCTTTGACTACTGACACACTAATGCCAAAATCCCAAGAATGAAATTTTATGTTGAGTTTCTTTATTATGAAAATGAGCTCAAGTAATCATGAATTCAAGTTAAAACATAATGCTCAACCACATAGACTTCTGCACATTCAAACTATGACACCTTTTATCACACAAAGGGGAAAGCACAGGCATGATTGAATGTGGCTACAAGCCAAAACTCTCACTGATCTGTTTGGAACACAAACAAATGAAACCAATACTCCTTTATCTGGCTGGTTGAGCATTGTTGGGTTGCTGATTTTCATGGTGATGGCCAAGGAGGTCATGATTGAAATGATGAGGTCCATACACAGCCACCACAGAAATTATGAGTATACCAGTGAGTCCAATAAGGGCAATGGTTGATGGGGCATTAAAGAACTGACCAAACTCAAACCAGCAATACCAAATGATGCTCAAAATGACTGCAAAGATGGGGAGCATGAAATTCCCCAGGTCCAGGTCCAGGTCCTCCTGCCTGACATGCAGGGTATCCCGCTGGGCATTGGGGGCCGCTGATGTGTTTGACTGACCCTGAGACACGAGGCAGTGGAGCACACAATTATTTGAGAGGCCGTAATTTCCCAGGGTTTCAGAATCCTGAGAAAGAAGCCGCCCATTGTAGATGAGGCGCACAAATTTGTTGGATTGCAGCTCATTCTCAAAGTATCGTCTGCAAGAACATACAAAAATATCATGAATGGCAAATCAAATATCATTTAAAATGATCTAAATAACTAGCAAAAGACCAAAAAGATTTAGGGCTTCATGCAAGGTGGTTTGACAACAGTACAACCCCTTTGTCATTAGAGCCTCAGAATACCACCTGTCAAGCTTAAGTCCCTTATTCAAAATCACACAATAAAAGATGCACATGAACTAGCTAACTTAAGAATCAAATGTTGAACCAGTCCCTGTTTTGTTAATGGATAAAAGTTTGGAACACTCTTTAGGGATGACCTGAACTAATATTTTGAACAAGATGCCTCAAAATACTTCATATCACACACAATTTGAAAGAGCTAGAGCAAAAGTGCAGTTTCATGCAAAGCTGGAGTCTTCCTTGACGTTAAAAATCTAGCTGGTAAGTCAAGTGATGAGATAAATTACTCAATAGCTGAACAGAGAGGCAGCATTCAACAGGCTTAGAATGAGATCACCATGGAGGAGATCCACAAGTCTATCACTTGATGGAAAAGGGACACTACATGCCATAAGCAACGCCAAATGAAGATCCATTGCACGTCTTCTTGCATAAGATGAAGCATGGCATGAAAAATTTATAGGCACCTTAGTCAAACAGCTGTCATGGGAGTACTATGGTGGTAAAAAATTCATAATTTTCATGGGGATGAGAAGGAAAATAGATGTATACTTGGTATGATTTCCAGGCCTCTGCCTTATCTGAAAATTTAGAAATATCTGCAAAAATCTTGGCACTTTTTTAAATGCAACCAGTTATTAAAAAATCTGGCTGACTTAAGCAATATATATGTCAATATTTGTTATAAATGAGCCAGCCTCTGATATGATATTTGTGCCATTGTTTATCATCCTCCTCCACCTCAAGTGGGAAGGTGATAAGAACATTTACAAGAGGAAATATGCCATGCAGAAAATGGTACTCGGCCAGGCAGCCTTCACACATCCAGTGTACTTTCCCCATAGAGGGAGAGGAACTTCTTTCAACTTTTCCATTTGAAAACATTTTTGCTTCAATTGCATTACACTCTAGGTCAGGGCTTCCCAACCCAGGGGTTGTGACCCCAAATGGGATAGCAAACCAGCAACTAAATGCAAAGTTATGCTTTTCTTTGTGATTTTAGCATATAGGCAGGGGAGTCTGTCTAACTTCAGCCAGTGCTTGGGGTCATGAATAGTATGAAAGTGGTTTTTGGGGTCGCATGTGAGAAAGGTTGGGAAGCCCTATTCTAGGCCAATCTTACAATTTTCAGTTATGTAGCTACATACTACTTTCTCCCCACCTCTCCAAGGGGAATAATACATGAAATTTCTACCTATATGTCAAATATGAACCTTTTTTTTTGGATCTTCACAAGGATGAATAATGGAATGTGCAAGCTTCCAAAATGATGCATTTTAAGCATGCCTAAACTCAGAAAGATTTGTTAAACCTTGTATTCAAAGAAAATAGTAATATTTTACAGGTCTTACATGAATAAAAAGGTCTACAAGCTAAATTTAATCTAAATTTAAGCAATTAATATCACAAAGTTGAATCTCTTCAACCTGGAAGCACCCTAGAGATTCAAATGCATTGACTTATGATCCTTTTTGTTCATCATGATGCCATTCTCTTTTTCCCCATTTACTCCTATTTTCTTGGTTCTCAGAAGTGTCTTGGGGTCAGTTTTTTGCTCTCTGCTTTGAGTTGTGAATCCCATTCATGCCTTAGTTCCTCTCCCCTTTAGATTAGTTTGCTCTCATGTTGCCCCATTAGCCTTAACTCTCAGTTTTTCCTTTTTTCCCCCTTTCTTTTGCTACTTGCTTGATCACATGACATAATTTGGAAAAATGCCTAAATTCAAATTCATAAAAATCATAGTACCTATACCCAAGCAGAAGCATATTGGCCAATGATTGGACAAAGCCTGGCCTATACAAGAGGTAGTGATATGTAGATGAGGAATACTCTGTTTAAGAAACTATGTTCATAAGAGCCATAGCCCTAAGAATTCTCACATAATATACTGACCTTTTGAAATCTCCAAGAGTCTCCTCCAAGTATGCATCAGCAACCTTTTGAGTATCGTTAAAAAACTTCAACCTAACTCGAATGGCATCTCTGACAGCACTTTCTACAGATGGAACAGATTCTGTGTGATATGACGGCTCATAGGGGCTTGGTCTAGTAGGCATATCAGCCTTAGGCCTCAGCCTAATTGATGTAGCTTCTGACTCAACTTGAGAACCGGGAAGGATTGTGCATTCGCCCTGTCCCTGGGCCAATGAGGATTCAGGTGGGGTTATGTGGTCTATAGGGGTGGCACTTGAAAGATCCCCTGTTGCTGAGGGCGCAACAGGTGTTCTTTCTCCAAGAGCAGCACGATCAGAAGTGTGGAATACTCCATCATCACATGAGCCACTACCTGAAGTGGTTGGTAGCACATCTGGCCCAGGTGAAGACCTAATGGAGACATCACTGTCAACAGGACCAATAACAGTGGGATGACTTCCAGGAACTGCTGGGTCAATCTGAGATGTTTCGGCAAGCAGAGAGTGTTCATCTCTCGATGAACTTGTATTTTCTTGGCAGCTCCAATCACTGTGTGGAAGACTAGAGAGTGAACTCTGCCTGCCGTTGGACACATCAGGCAGAAGTCCTGGCCTTTGAATGTTGCCTTGAGATTGATTTGCGGGTGTCCCTTCCCGAGAGTTTGGCTGATCGGGCGGCGCAGCTTCATTCCTTCTATCCGAGGTGATCCTTCCGATCTCACCCAAAATCACATTGACTACGTTAAAGTCCGGGTCTCTCGCTGAAGTCGATAGCCATGCGATGAGCAATATGAGAACGAGAACTAGAGCAGCAAGGACGAGCACTACTTCATCACCTACTCCCTCGATCCAACTCATCTTGGGACTGCGATGGGAAATTCGAGAACAAAGAAGGGAGAACAATTCTCGATTTGTACACGTCAGTAACCACGCAGCGACCTTAGGCCCGAGACTCACGTGCCTGCATCGAATGAGCGGCCATGTTTGCCAGGGAAGGTCGGTGATATCCTCTTAGGGGAGAACAGTAATGATCGCGGAGTCTCCGGCCAGCGCAACAGGAATAGAAATTCCATACAGGCATATCACAGATACCGACAAGGGCAGTTATCTATTACATCTTTTCATGCTGCTTGGAATGGGTAATTGGCAAGACGGGGTCAACGCAATCAGCTTTCCGGTAAATCCATTGTATAGCGAACTCCTCGCTGGATTTAAAAATGAATTGCCAGAAGGCTGTCCACTCTGACCCGATCCCCAACCTCAGCATTCATATTCATTAAATGGAGTCTCCAAATTTAAGAAATAATATTATGTTGATGACCACTGTCTGGCAATGTTAGGGTAAAATACCCAATGATGGGCCTGTACGTCTGTAATGTCTGCACTCAGTGATTAGCCACGGCGCCGTAAAATTTGAAGAACTAAGCCAGTATAGCATGAACAACTTTCAAGCGAAACATGGTTGCATGTCGCTATAATATGTCACTACAGGAGTATCCGTGCCGTGGATGTGTATCTGTTGGGGTTGTTATGCGTTGTGGCCCATCAGTGGGAACCGATTCACCGTTGGGTGTTTTACCCTAACGAAGATAAGGCAAAATGTGTATCTCATTCGTTCAACATTCTTATCAATCCAAATATGAAAGTTCTAACTTGTGGCTGTTGCTCTCATGTTCCCTCACATCATATGCTGTTTCCTTTCATATGCAGCCTGCTCGGTCGCAAGTCTTCCGGGCGTTTCAAGATTTTAAAATGCTTGAAACGCCAAACACATACCAGTCCGACCGTTCCACACGTTTCCAATCTTCAGTAGTCCAGTCTGTCTGCTTCGGGGCAAACTTCAGGCTCTTCTTTGGACTCTTGTAGATCTTAGCACCAAGATCATTTTTAAGATAGCGTTGGACCGTTCTGAAAGACCCTTTCAGGCCCCAATTTTCAATCTGGAAGCCAGTGTCCGGCTGGACATGCCTCTAATCCCCAGACTTTATGATCTTTCTTGCTTCCTGTACTTCTGCTGAACAGCTCACTGACCTTCATGTGGTTTTGTTGATCTCAAGCAGAATCGGCTTCGTGCGAATGCTGTGCAGTGCGTTCGCTCGGCTTGCGCAGGATGCATCTTACTGGTTTGTCGGGGTTTCCCTGAGTTGCTTGAATGATGGGGGGAAACATGGTTGAGGGGGAGCGAACCTTTAACGTAGTTCACTCGTGTTGCAATGTGTGTGACCCATACTGTAGAATAATAATAGCCTAGCCGGAATACAAACAAAGAAGGGAGAACAATTCTCGATTTGTACACGTCAGTAACCACGCAGCGACCTTAGGCCCGAGACTCACGTGCCTGCATCGAATGAGCGGCCATGTTTGCCAGGGAAGGTCGGTGATATCCTCCTAGGGGAGAACAGTAATGATCGCGGAGTCTCCGGCCAGCGCAACAGGAATAGAAATTCCATACAGGCATATCACAGATACCGACAAGGGCAGTTATCTATTACATCTTTTCATGCTGCCTGGAATGGGTAATTGGCAAGACGGGGTCAACGCAATCAGCTTTCAGGTAAATCCATTGTATCACGAACTCCTCGCTGGATTTAAAAATGAATTGCCAGAAGACTGTCCACCCTGATCCGATCCCCAACCTCAGCATTCATGTTCATTAAATGGAGTCTCCAAATTTAAGAAAGAATAATATGTTGATGACCACTGTCTGGCAATGTTAGAGTAAAATACCCAATGATGGGCCTGTACGTCTGTAATGTCTGCACTCAGTGATTAGCCACGGCGCCGTAAAATTTAAAGAACTAAGCCAGTATAGCATGAACAACTTTCAAGCGAAACATGGTTGCATGTCGCTATAATATGTCACTACAGGAGTATCCGTGCCGTGGATGTGTATCTGTTGGGGTTGTTATGCGTTGTGGCCCATCAGTGGGAACCGATTCACCGCTGGGTGTTTTACCCTAACGAAGATAAGGCAAAATGTGTGGGTGTTTTACCCTAACGAAGATAAGGCAAAATGTGTATCTCATTCGTTCAACATTCTTATCAATCCAAATATGAAAGTTCTAACTTGTGGCCGTTGCTCTCATGTTCCCTCACATCATATGCTGTTTCCTTTCATATGCAGCCTGCTCGGTCGCAAGTCTTCCGGGCGTTTCAAGATTTTAACATGCTTGAAACGCCAAACACATACCAGTCCGACCTTTCCACACGTTTCCAATCTTCAGTAGTCCAGTCTGTCTGCTTCGGGGCAAACTTCCGGCTCTTCTTTGGACTCTTGTAGATCTTGGCACCAAGATCATTTTTAAGATAGCGTTGGACCGTTCTGAAAGACCCTTTCAGGCCCTAATTTTCAATCTGGAAGCCAGTGTCCGGCTGGACATGCCTCTAATCCCCAGACTTTATGATCTTTCTTGCTTCCTGTACTTATGTACTTCCTGTACAAAACCACATGAAGGTCAGTGAGCTGTTTAAGCTCACTGACCTTCATGTGGTTTTGTTGATCTCAAGCAGAATCGGCTTCGTGCGAATGCTGTGCAGTGCGTTCGCTCGGCTTGCGCAGGATGCATCTTACTGGTTTGTCGGAGTTTCCCTGAGTTGCTTGAATGATGGGGGGAAACATGGTTGAGGGGGAGCGAACCTTTAACGTAGTTCACTCGTGTTGCAATGTGTGTGACCCATACTGTAGAATAATAATAGCCTAGCCGGAATACATAAACTTCACCCATCTACATCTCTCTTCCAAAGTTCAAATTGTCAAGAATTGGGAAAATCTTGCATTTTTATCAACTCCATTCACTTGTAGAAAAGACAGAACAACATGAACGTAAACTCGCCTTACAACGAAGGGAAACGGTGTATCTCATTCAGTATCCAGTACCCTCAGCTCTCAGCGTAAAAAAAAAGGGACAACAAAGGTCTGGGAATTAATTTCCTGCTGCATTCGCAAGATTCCTAATCCTCTAGGATTGAAAAAAAAGCATATTCGTACTTACCTTTGCAAGGTTCAGGTATAACTATACATTTATTAACAGTTTATCCCTTTCCCATTTGGCAAGCTTACAATCGCATATTCACTCTCTGCACGTTTTATTCCTATTCCTTATGGATGTCAGAGAGAGGATTCATTCGAGTCTATACCTCTTGAAGCTGGCATTGAAATTAGTTCATTTCTGTTTGTTCTATTCCAGGTAGCACAGAACGGTTGTGCCAATGTTGGAGCGACGCTCGCTTCTAAGAAATTGCATCTGGTGCCAGCGACGGGAGCCGACGTTGGGCCCCAGTCGGCGTGTCTCACGGCCCTGATGGATGCTCTCATTTCCAACAGGACTTCGTTGTCGTTGTCGACGACGTGGGGTATGGGGAAGTCGCGAATGCCGACAGGGATGATAAGATAGATCACTCCGTTCTGGATGATTCCGGGAATGCCGAAGTCTAATTTCAGCACAGATAGACAGGCCGACAGGGACGGATGGTCCTTTCGAGGCGTGACCCTTGAATGCCGACACAAAAAAATCGTGTTTTTTATGTTGTATTTTTTTTTGCATTCTCCATTCTTACTTGTAACACTTCCGGCAAGTTTTCGTCGGCGAAGAATTATAAAGGAAACGGTATTGGATAATAAACGGCCATGGCTGAGGATGCATTTCGTACACAGGAACGGAGTCCTCGAAGATGTGAAAACCTCATTGTCTTGTGAAAACCTCATGTGAAAACCTCATCACGAGTTTCAGTCGGAGGATGACAGGCAAAAGCGCTTTAGAAATGCAAAGATGAGTCCAAAGTTCCACAGGCGACTCTTGCGTAGATACTTCTTTACAATATAAACTTTTCAATATAACAAAGCTGCGGGGAGAATGGATAAGTCCGGTCGACGGCAGGCTGTTTCTGCTGCACCATGACGAAGGAGAAGAATCTGGAATCATGATGCTGGGGAATGCGGAAAACTTGAAAAAAACGTGCCAGAAGTGGTCGTCATGGACCTTCAGGGTTGCTCCTCGTACCTTCTTTCAGTTGTACGTTCATTCAGAGGACTGAATGAGGATAAATTCATCCTCGTATTTACGAGGATTCCACGAATACCCACGATGCTTCCTTTCCTTTTCTCAAAGCCCATCGCTGGAAGGCAACAGCAATGTCATCCGGGAGTGGAAATTGGTGAACTTGGAGCAGGCTCCGCGAGTCACCCTCAGCAGTCTTTTGCTCGGGGTAGAGACAGAAGGATGTCTCTTCCACTTTCGGCGGGCGATCTGACGGAAATGCTGAGAGCTAGGACATTGTGCCTCATTCGGTCAAAACGACGAAACCAGGAAATGGATGAAGCGTTTCATGGCATCACCGCCAGTCTCCGGAACATCTAGACGATGTGCATCATGGGATTGAGCCCGTATGCCGCTCCAGCAAGAAAATGGTGCGCTCTGCACGACCACATACGCGAGACACGGACGAATATGACACAGTGCATCAGTAGACATCGGTGGAATCATTGTGGAATGAGGAACTGACCTTGCACGGACTACGACTTGGAATGCCGCTTCCACGACCGCGGAACCGTGAAATCCGCCTCAGAAATCTCCGGGAATGCCGAATACTCTCTTCCTTCTCTATTCCGTTACTGCCGATTTTTTTTTTCGTATTCGAACCCTCGATTCCATGACCAATGCGTCTCATTTCGACCACTTTACCACGCCCCCACACGAATTCAGGAAGGTACATTTTAACACCCTAAGTTTTGATTCTTTAGTCTCCGCATCCTTGGCCAAAGCCTTCAGGAATGCCGACCGATGGCTAATTATAGTTACAACTTGATGACTGTAAAGGTTTAAAGTTATATATAACCGTTTGCTTACTTTTCTAAGTCGACATATTTCTAAAAGGTATTGTGAATTTCCGTTTTATTGAGATCTCAAATAATTTTGTGAATGACACCACCGTTATTTTTCCACCATTGGCTTGCCTCGACCATATAGTTTTGTCGCTACGTCGATGAAATGGAAAACTGCAATAGCTCATGTGGTGAGCTTTTCCTCTAACGTGTGAAGAGTATTCTCTAATGCGACCTGGAGTGTTTTTCTTTCGGGTGTGGAAGGTTGCATCGCATGCATGAGTCTACAGGATGGGCCATAAATATTCATGCCACTCGTAACTTTCTATTTTCGTACGCCTAAAAACAGCGAAGAAAAATTTTTTTCCTGCTCGATGTGAGTGTCTCATTAGTGGTCAATCTATGCTATTTTAACACGAATTCTTCTCCGCCTAAAAATGCCTTGAGGTGCAAAATATTGTCTGGCTGATTATGAGCCAGAAATCATCTAAGAACATGAATGACCCCTGCGCTACTCTGACCATAACCCAATGGGTTACTCTATGCGAAGTCTGTTGAAAGCAAGCGCCCATAAACGAAATCCAAGGATCTGAGCCAGTTAAGGTTCGTGCCGAAACAGGAGTTAAAAACCACGTCCGTCCTGTGCGATCGACCGGCAGACTCAGATTCCAGGTTGTCGTCGAGAAGAACATCGAACGCATTTTTGCGAATACCGTCAGCCCCTGTGTCTTGAGATTCAACTGATTCCACGAGAAGTTATTTGTACAGGAAATATAAGACTTTGATTTGGTGTGAATATTTATGGCCCACGCTATACAAGTCTGCAAGATGCTTTCTCAGCCACGGTCGTTGTTTATCCAAGACCATTCCTTTTTATACACTTCCCCAAATAAATCTTGCCGAAAGTGATAGACGAGGGGGGAGGGAAGAATGCAAAGAAAAAATGATTCGTTTTTTTGGTCGGCATTCAAGGATTAATGCTCCAAAGATACGTCCTTTTCCGCCGACCTGTCTATGCCAAAATTAGGTTTCGGCATTCCTGGAATCATCCAGAGTGGAGAGATATTTCTCATCGTCCCAGTCGGCATTAAAGGACGAAACTCCGTCGGCATTAAAGGACTACTGTTCCAGGAGCTTCCCACCTCGCACGACTGATTCAGCTGAAGCATGGCATACAAAAGCGAACAAACTTTACAGAATTCATCAACAACCCGAATGTGCACGAGCGAGCAGTGGACGAAATCGAAACGGCTGTGATGCAACCTGCCACGCCCGGAATAAGCTCTCTGAATAAAACGGAAACCCGTCACACCTTTGGGAGATGCGTCGGCAAAGAAAAGCGAGCAAGGGTTTCTATGAAACTTGAAATCATTCCGGTCATCAGAATATAATTGAAATCGATCGGGATCCTCGGAGATTCCTTCCCGGTTTCGACCAGGAATGCCGCGACTGAAAATAATAATAAAAGCTTACGGTGCTAAAATGTACTCGCGTGAGGAAGAGAAGTGATCGAGTAGTCGAGAAGATAATGGGCCGATACGAGTAAAAATGCTTAAACAGAAGGGAGAATAAAAAAAAAGTAGTCGGGATTCCCGGAAAAGACTTCTGAGGCGGGTTTCACAGTTCGGCGGTCGTGGAAGGGTAACAGGTGTCAGCATTCCGAGTACCAACCCATACGAATTATTCATTATTCTGCTCAGTGTTGGATGGATTGAGAGCTGGGAACTGGCTGACTCCACAGGTTGAGGGGGAAAAAAAGACGGGATGTAAAAAAAAAAGATGTACTTCTGATTAACGCGAGGACCCAATAAAAGTAGCACGTTTATGATCAATAAAAACAGAGGCGTTGCCTCGTCTACAGACATACGACCAGTGGCCGAGGGTTTGTCTCTGCTGGGTGTGAAGTAAAGGATCTGGTCATGCGAGCCAAATCAAGTTTGAGCTAAGTGCTTGTGAGCAAAAGATTTTTAGAACAGGATTTTTCCTGAAGTTGGCAACAGACACATGCATGATACATGAGAAAAATGAGGAAGAACCATGATTTTCAGCTATGACTCAATGAGCCAAACTTTTCAGCTCGTGAGCCAAATTTGACTCTGAGCCATAGGTTCCCGACCACTGATTTAGAGTGTTCTACCTTGAACGTGGATAGTACTGCACGGTCGTACCGATGATAGTACATGTACTATCATCAGTAGGACCTTGCTGTGATACATTCGAGCGTACGGCCGAGTTCGACCGCCCCAGCCGAGACCATTCGCACATCACCTAACACCAATCAAGAATAGACTATAAATGCTGGAAGCCATCTAGGCCGAACGTCGAGTCAACGCCGGTCAGACTACACATACAGTGTTTTTCGCTTGACTTCGCCACCCATGCATGAGGAAGGTCCCATGCACGCGTGTCTGAGTCAAGCGAAAAATTGTCTAACTCAAGTGAAAAACACTGTACGATAGGTTCGTGGACTACACATGTGCCATGTTCTTCGGTTGGATCTAAGGTTGCCAGTCTTCAGCTCTCACCTTTCTACAAAGACATTATATCCTTTGTCTCAATCATTATTATTATTGTTGTTATTATTTCTCTTGATTATCATATGTCTCATGAGACACGATTGCTCGTTCTTTCCAGAGTCGTCTTCGGTCTGAAACAGCCATTGTTCCGGTTAAAAAGATCCATGCTGCCAAGCAATCATGGCGTCGGAGCGGTACAGCTTTTCCCTGACAACATTCAGGTTAGTGAGCAAAATTTGGCCTAGGCCTACGGCATTTATGGGTAAAAAATGTTTTGATTACGTGTACGGTGAATTTTACTTCACTATTTAATGCCGAAAGCTAATGACGAGATTTCTCTTAGGCCTTCGTTGGGATTGCAAATAAATCACTTTTTGGAAGGAATTCCAGAAATGAGGCGACCTAAGCGTAATTTCGGTTTTTTTTTGGCAGGTTTTGTGCGGGATTCGCTTCCGAGATCAAATAAAGGTGGTCACCTTCGCCAGACCTGGCTTTAGTGTTTCATTTCATAACAATACAAGGACTGCGTAGTTTTAAACACGACAGACCTGTGAGAACCAAATAAGTAAGATTGCTAGGCTAAGGCAGAGCTTGGACCTGTAACAATAGCGAATGTACGTTACGCGCACGCTTCGACACAATCCTTGAACGCCGAACGCAGTTCGCTCTGTTCCACATGCTCACAACCACTATTTACAGGCGTAGGCCTTTGAGGAAATGTGAGAGAAACCAGGGGCATCATTCATTAAGTAACCGTACTTCCCCCTTTGTTATTAATCTCATAATCGATCGATCTTGTGTTTGGTATTCTAGTCGCAATTATTCTTGCTCTTCATTTGACCCTTTTTGGATCGATTTCACACTTTTTTTTCAGCATGGAGTACAGTTTTTTTTGTAATTTAATGTTTATGCAATATTGGTTGAGTATAAAGTAGTCCAACTTGATGTACACATGCAGACATGTTTTGCATCGCTATGTACGATCATGGAAGCTGAATGGCCAGTTCAAATGGAAAATGGAAAAGCACCTTTTCCATTGGAAATGGAAAAAGTGCTTTTCTCTGTGTACAAAACCAACTCTACTGTCAGTTGTCACATATTCAGTCAAGCTTCTTCCAGCGAAACTAGTAAGGTCAGATTCTGGAATTTAATCCAAGGCCAGCCTGGCTCTGTATGTTCTTTAGATTGAAATGTTCACTTTTCAATATAATGTGTAATGTGATGTCCTCAAGATAGAATTGCTTGAAATTGTGAAAGGACTCAGCAAACAATTTGAAACACAACGTAGAATCAACATAGAATGAACGTTCGGGACGTTGATACGTCGGTCCAACGTAGCCTTATTTGCTGGGCAAATTATTGATAGGTAAAATTTATACATCGAGAGATATATTCCCTAATGCCTTTTGAAGAGAATATGATTCCATTACTTTGGGTGCCCCTGGACCCAACAGGTAGGTTGTCCCAAAACCATTTTGTATTGCCCAAGAAGAAAATATATTTATACATATCAGCATACCTACCCAGCATTCTTCATTTTGCATTTTTATGACAAAAATTTTCTTTATTTGCTTTTCATTATGGCCCTCCCTGGTTCTACTCAGTGTGTATTGACTTGCCTTGATCTGGAAAAAGTTATAATTTAAAAAGATATTCTAAGGGTCAAAACAGCATCAGATTCAAAATTACAGTTAAATTGCTATCAGGCCCATTTTATCTAAGATAATTTGTTGAAACTTGTGCAGTGCCTCCCATTGATCATTTCCACATTTTTTTTTGTTAAGTTACTCAAATTTGTGATTTAGCCTACCAGGAAATTCTTCCATCTGAATTATTTCCAATACTTATACTGAGAGGGAAAGTCACTTGTGTATATTTGAAAGTTACAATGTGTCTGTCTTGGATCTAAATCCTTGCTCATAATGCTTTCCCAGATTATCATTGGTCCCTTTTTAACACAGTAGGATTAATAATGGCTTTGTGACATTGAGTCACAGTTACAAACTTTCACATTTTTCATGCTCTCAGAATTGTCATTATATTTTGCTTGTTTGTAATAGCTGTGATCACAGCACTTTCACAGGCTGGAGAAGTGCGAGATGAAATGTTGACATTTATCAGAGTAAAAAATATTGCAGAAATTTAGTAAACTCCTCGTAGTACTTTCCAACATGTAGTCACTTAATCTGAAGCAGTCCATATGTGGTTTTTGAAAGAGGTTTAGTATTACCCAGCAGAATACACTACATTCTGCCGATTGGATGGTGCGTATGCAGTCCATCAGTTTCGCTGCAGAACAAGTACATATTAGCGCAAAAAGTAAATAGCACAGGACAGAGACTTCCAGGATGAGTATTTGGATTACAGTTAGCCACCATGTTGATCATGCACGAATGAGAATCAGAAACCCGAGTAGACTGCATGACTTACTCCTGGAACTACTCCCCTGTCATGGGCATAGCCCGTTTTTAGTGGGCTGTATCTGCTCGTACGACATCGTATTTTTTTGTCCCTGTGTTCAATGTTCCATGTGATAAGTTGACCTTTGTACGATGCAGCTAACCTTAATAAAATGTACGTTATTTGAGGTTGGATTGGATTGGACCGGATTGTAATCCCCTTTGTTACAAGGCTCCGTCATGCGCAAATTGGCATTGGACGCGTACGACAGAAATAGCATTAGGGGGCCCGGTACTGAGCAGACACTGCCAATTTTTGGGCGGTCCGTACTCTCGAGTTAAATTCCGTACTGCTGTTTAGCGCGCCCAGTGGTTTCAAGATGTGTGCATGCGCGCCTTAAAAAGTGCAGGGCAGGTGCTAACCAGAGTTTCAGCTCTAGTTGTATGTTTGCTAGTCCAATCTTCGACTTCACGAGATTTGGCTGGACCTGCTGGTTACCTCACCAGAGCCACTCGGCCATATATGCACCTGATATGCTGCATCCAACGATGTTGTAAAATGGAGGAAACGTTAGCTCTGCTAGCTTTTGTAGACTCATAGAAAAGATTGGTTTTTAACATGAAGATGGGTGAACTCACCCCGAAATCGAAATCACTTTCTATGGGGGAGTTTGCTGGTAGACATCGTTTTGTATCGTGAGATATGGCGGCTTATTGTGGGAAGGCTACATGATGCAAAAAATAGTAAGAGGATGCCTTCTGCCTACGGACATACATTTCCCATGAGCATTTATCAGTGGTTGTGTGAAGTCTCATTGCCCTCACACGAAGGGTACAGTGACACTCTTGTGGCAGGAGCAGCAGGATCAGATCCCATTTCATCAATCTGGAGAGCAAAATGCGTCCATAAGATCTTTAAAGGTAGTAACGTTCTGGAGCATTCACGAGCAATGGAAGGGAGACTCATGGTTTTTCCCTTTTTTATTTTTATTTTTTTACCTTTTTCACAATGCCCTACGCACTACGTGAATTCTTGTATTAATAGTCGGCTGGGTATGGATGCGGCGGAGGGAAGGAGGTAGGTAACCATGATGCTTGGAACAGCGTCATATAGGTGTATTTTTTACCTTTTTCACAATGCCCTACGCACTACGTGAATTCTTGTATTAATAGTCGGCTGGGTATGGATGCGGCGGAGGGAAGGAGGTAGGTAACCATGATGCTTGGGACAGCGTCATATAGGTGTGAAGGGAAAACTCGAGTCTGATTTCCGTTCCATAGTGTTTATACTTTCGCTTCGAGTGCTAAACGCTCGGACTTGTTGCTTCACTAGGCGACGGTGCAGGCCTAGAGTCACAAAAAGTAGCTCACTGTGATGGGGTGGTGGACTTGTGGACACCATACAATAACCGCCCTTACGTTACCCCTATCAACGTGAAGAAAAAATAAATAATGGAGGTTTTTTCTTTGAACTTTCAGTCCATCGGGGAAATTAGTGCAGATTGAGTATGCATTGGCAGCTGTGGCAGCAGGTGCCGCCTCCGTTGGGATCAAGGCTGCCAATGGAGTTGTTCTCGCCACGGAGAAGAAACACAAGTCCATTCTCTATGAAGAGCATAGTGTCCACAAGATTGAGGTGATCTGCAGTCACATCGGGATGGTCTATAGTGGTAGGTATTGTAAAACATCTATTGTTTGTGTTAGGGACACTCCTTTTTATTTTTCCACTCAGGTTGGCCTAAGCCTATATTACATGTATTGAGAAATAGAAAAATCTACAAGGAGCTTCAAGATATAGAAAGAGCCATTTAGGATACTTCATATGGATACATGTAACAATTTCAGATTTGCTTTCAGTCTTTTTTGACTTTTTATAAGAAAAATTGAATTTTTATTTTATTTTATTGCATGTGAACTCTCCCAAGGTATCTATAGTAGCAGCTGCATAGTCAGTATCTGAATCACTTAGTTGGAGAGTTTGATATATCCATAGTTACCACAAATTAGGCTTTTTCCTGCAGTTTTTGTAATGATCTGAGATTCTTCAAACCTTTACATTTTTTTAATCTTTTCTGGGGAACAGAGGAGACCCATTGATGTTTTTGCACCTATTTATATTGGGTGACATGCATCAGATTTATTTTCATAATGGGTGTCTTTGGGAATAAGTTTATCTCTGTTAAACTGATTCCCATGGGGTCCATTGTAAGATCAGATTAGTTTAGATTCAGAGCATGTCGCCCATTTTCTAAAAATAAAATAAATCTTTCTGAAAAAAATCAAGTGAAACAGCCCTGTGAGAAATTATAGGTTTGTGTTTCACCTGAGCCTGTTGGTGCTAATGATTGGTGATCATGACTTATTCCTGCCATGTAGGTATGGGTCCTGATTATCGCTTGCTGGTCAGAAAGGCACGCAAGATAGCCCAGGAGTACTTCCTCATATATAAGGAGCCCATTCCAACCTCTCAACTTGTGCAGCGTGTCGCCATGGTCATGCAAGAGTACACACAATCTGGGTTAGTTACTATAGGGTTTACCAATCATTTCATATCTGATTAGTTGTGAGTGAGCTCACAGTGGGCACTGTACTATATTTGTTGAAATCTTTCCACCAACCCACTATGCTTTGTTTTCAGCTCCCAAAAGTTCTATTCTAGTACATGCACTGAGAAGCAAGTTGCTAAGATATGGAACATTAATACTTTTGCTTACGAGTAGGGCTATACCGATGTAACGTTTTGACTGATATGCCAATTCCCGATATCTGTTCTTGAAGGATAATCTATACAAATACCAATACCGATATTTGTTTATGTCTGTAGAATAGGTCGTTTTTGCAGAGTTTTGATAATCAAGATTATATTAACCTTTTTGTGGGCCAATTTTTTATTATGTAAATGACAAAATTTCAGCATATTTTCTTTTCCTACTTATGAAGGCTTTTATTTTGAGAAATTACAGTTTTTCCCCTAAACAAAAAATTGTCATATTTGTGATGGGAACCTTTCCTGATCAATTATGGTTACTAGTAGGGCACTGGGATCAAAAGTTTTCTGGGAAGAATTCTTCCCATTGTCCATGAAAGAGTTAACTTGAATTAAGTGCATCAGTTCTACATTGAGAATGTAGTAAAGCAAAAAAAAAAACCTCTAGAATTATCCTTTTTTTTAATTAAAGTTTTAAATTGAGTTTTCCAAAATCAGAAATGTGCTCCTTACCACAGGGTAATTAGCCATAAATATCAGATTCAGTTTTCATGAAAGGTTAAGGAAGAGATTTTCAATTGTGATAAAATGTGGAATGCTAACGCAGTACTGTTGCAAAGATTCAAATGCCCCAAACCAGAAGAGATGTAAAAGGACAAGGAATAAAAGACCTAGGCTTGGATAGGCCATATGAAGCACGTATCACAAGCCAAGCGCAACCAACATTCGGCGTGGGTCCATCACACTGCATGCGCGAAGTTTGCATCTAGAGGCCTGAGCCTAACGTTAGCGTTAGGCCTCTGCATGTTTAATGAAAGTAGGCCCATTCAAGGTTTCAGCATTTTATAAAAATTCAACAGCAAGGGCTTCAGTGATGATTCATTGGAATGCAGCAGCTTCTCGCACATGCTCCTACGTCTACTGCCATTTAGTAGGAAGTTGAACGTGTGAGCTGGCGCAGAGAGCATACCGGTGCACGAAAGTTCAAAGCTCGAGGAAAGAGTCCGGACGATGTTTTACGGCCCTTCAGCTTTATCCCTCTCTTCTACGCTACGCACAAGCCGCGTAAAAAAAATTCGGAAAATCGGCAGGCCCAAAGATCGGTTTCGTCGATGTCAATGGAAAACACCGGAATCGACTGATGTCCGATCACCGGTCTAAGGATCGGTACAGCCTTACTTATGAGTGTAACAGGAATGCATGGTAAATGTTAAGTATATTCAACTCACGATAGTGAATGCCTTAGAAGCCTGAGTCCCATAATGGATCCTAACATTTGGAGGTCATTCTTAATGTGCCAGAGGCCTTGTGTTGGATTCGCTCATTAATTGTTATCCATTCCAGCCAGCACAAATGCATGAGGATTGTTTAACCCTTTCATGGCGTATGATCATTATAAGGATCGTATCTTTTGAAACTGCTCTTGCAGTTACCATTGAACAAGGCTTGTTTTATTTGGTACCTCGTAATAGCTCTCAAAAAGGGCTCTTCGGTGATGCATCATTCATTCAAATAGGTTGTAGTTCAGGTCAGCTGGATCAAATAGAAAAGTTGTGACCTGATATTTTATATTTTTTGTGAAATGGAATTTTGACCGTAAAAGAAATATATTTTTATATTTTTTTTGGAAAAGGGAAAAATATGCCCACATGTTGCAGGAATGAACATATATAATTGGGACAAAGGCCAAGTTTTTGGGAACATTTGTGAACATTTGCCTGTTATTCAATATTTTCGGTTGATTCTTGTAATTAAGAAATTTCGTTTTTGAATATATGAGTAAATATTTGAAAATTTCTGCAGGCTCTGTCTTTAGCTAAGCCTGTTCAATAGAAAAAACTGTGAAAAAATAGTTTGTTTTCTTAATTCGGCCTTGAAAGGGTTAAGACCTAAGTCCTACTTACTGTCTCAAGACAGCAACTGGCCAGCTGTAGGGCCCTGCCACTGACTCTCATGTCAGGGGTGAAGATGGCTCTGCTTTTCTTCATGTTTTTCAGTGGAAAATAATGATAGAGTGAACACAAACTTTTTGTTGTTCAGTGTGGAGCATCTGGGTAGAATTTCTTTGAAGCCTGGGCTCCTCTTATGAAATAACCTCTTCTTGTGTCTCTTGAGAGTATACATGACACTGATACAACATTACAAAATTTGTGATTTTTCCCCTTCTCCCAATATTACATGCTGGGACTTTGTTGGCACCTACCAGCTGCAGGAACTGGGCTTGAACAGGAGGTTTTGTCATTTTTCCCAAAAATTTGCTTCTGGGTGCAAAAAGAATCTAACATACTATCCCCAATTGTTCTTCCAAAATAATGCTGATTAGGCTGTATCAGTTGTATTGGCTTCTCCCTGGATGAGTATTTTCATAATTTATTATGATGAATGTTCAGTTTTTACACTAGACTCGAGCAGCCATGCTTTATGGGTGTCATAACACTATAACTACATATTTATGACTAATAATGAAATTATATGAGAGAGGTAGAAGAATGACATATCATTGTATGTTTCAGGGGTGTGCGACCATTTGGTAATTCACTGCTTATAGCTGGATGGGATGGAGGAAGGCCATTTCTTTTTCAGTGTGACCCCTCTGGGGCTTACTTTGCCTGGAAGGCCACTGCCATGGGCAAGAACCACATAAATGGCAAGACTTTCTTAGAGAAGAGGTGAGACTTTTATTCTCCTATCATGGTTATATTTTTTTTCTTCAGCTTCACAAGTGAATGAGAAGTAAGCTGGTTTTTTCATGTGATATCTTTGCTAGGCAAAGTTAAACAGGATTTTCTTGTCTATGTTTCTCTGGTGATCAATGGAAGATGATGAAATTACTCCCAATGGAGAGTCTGTTGTATCTATCTTCTTTCCATCAAACCATTGCCTGTTTTGCTCTCAGATTTTAAGATGCTCATCACATCTCGACATTTTAATTGTAGACCTGTGCATGGCTTTTGTTTGCAGGTACAATGAGCAACTGGAGTTAGAAGATGCTGTGCACACAGCCATTCTGACCCTGAAGGAGGGCTTTGAAGGACAGATGACTGCTGACAACATTGAAATTGGCATCTGTGATGACAGTGGGTTTCGCCGCCTTACTCCCACCGAGGTTAAGGATTATCTTGCCAACATTTCATAACTTGAAAATCTTCAAAATATATAAAATCTGTGGGCCTTTTGTTTTTCATTTGGCTCCAATGGAGTTCTACATGAACATCATTTGCTAACTGTTAAGTATGAACGTATACTATGATGTGTAATTAGGATACGTCAGGATGAGTACTAAAAGACCTTGGTTGGTTACAGAATACGTTGAGAGTACAAGACAGATAAGGTGAGGAACATTCTTTTCCGCAAAAGGGGAAACAGTTCTCGTACTATTCAAAACTAGAAGTATACACTAACAATTAGAGGTACAAGTATTAGCAGGTAAAAGTACCCACTTGGGACACACTGACCAAAGAACGTAAAGGTCACCGAACACCAAAGAAGTTTATGCATGTAATCCCAATGTAGCCGAAACCATTTTTATATGAGTTTGCAAGTATTGCAGTAAACATCTGCATGAAACACTTGTCCTGAATTGGGGGATCCCCTCCAAGACATGATCACACAACGATAACTTTAGCAATCTATACCTGAAGCTACTTTTACCTTGAGGACAGGCACAGAAATGATGATGTGGACAGGATTACATATCCTAATTAAGCAACCTAGGAAAAACTTACTGGTGAAATGGCATAGAAAGGTGTAGATGCAGCCCAATCTCCTAAGAGTTTTGTATATACAATACCTGGTCCTAACTTTCTTTAGTCTTGGCAAGTTGTAACATCTAAGCATTAATCATTCTGAGTTAACTTTTTCTCAGATGAAACCACTCGGCGCTATTTCAGGTAATAATGAGTATCTGAGAAAGCAACTGATTCATTAAAGTCTGAATTTTCCTCTGGGGATTACCTGTGTCAACTTGGACAGGACATTACACTTTTCTTCTAAATGATGTACTTGTCTGGTAGTATGTCTTGGGATTGAAAACAGAAAGGAAATATTCCCTAGTTGACAACGAACATGAATGATGAGAACCAGATTTTGACCAAAACTATTCAACACCGTAGTCTCACACATGCCTAACCTGCACAGGTGTTTATTTTCCCAAGTAAGGGAGTATTAGAAGAGGTGACTACAAAATAACTAGTTTAAAACTCAGAGCATTGTGATACTGCATGCATTATGCCTGGCAACAAAACTTCATGGCATAGGAATCGCCCTTGATGACAAATTGAAGAATATTTTATTGATAATTTTAAATGGGGAAAGTTACCTTTGCATGAGTCACTCAGAAGCAGACTGTAGCACTGAGAGCAGTTTATTAAAAGAACAAGTCCTGAGAAGAGACTGTGCAGTTAGCTTGTAAAGTCTTACAGGTACCTTTTTCTCTTCAAGAATTGAATGCCTTTATTTTTTTGGTGTTGACATTAAAATGTCAATGCTTTAGTTTATATCTGCATTGGAGATTCAAACAGTGCTCCCTCAAAGTGAGACGTGTCCAACATGTCAAAACCCATTCGGTAGTTTTTGTTCTAAATCAATCCCATGTGTTCAGCCTCCAAAACAGGAGTTTCCAACCATGACCTTCCAAATCTCCATAAAAACAAGGGAGTCCCATACAACACAATACTTGTATGGAAATTCACAAATCTTTCATCCTTCCAGTGCCTCATTATTGTATGTTCATTTTTCTCAGTTCTTTTGGCTTAAAAGCATTCTTGATATCACCCATGCATATCAAATATCAGATTTTATTTTCCTGGCAATATTGGCTATTAGACTTTTTAATTGGTTACCATGAGTACATTTGGGTGGATTCCCTGCTTCAGAGCAAGTGCCTCAAGAATGAACTTAAGGGTGAAATGTGCACAGAATAATACAAAACTGTTTACATTCCCCATGCCTAATTTGGGTTGAGGAGGTTGAAAGAGTCAAAATCCAATATTTGGAAATAAAGTTTTACATTTATTTGGAATGTATTGTCATTCATAAGTGACTTTCAGGGCATGCCACTTCCAGTAAGTCCAATATTTACCACAAATTCATGAAAATTGATACTTCATACTGTCATGAAATTTGAAAGGACAGGAAGAAAGAGAAGGCACATTCACAAGTATTTTGAAAGTAAAAAGGAAATTTAAAATAAGGTAAAGAAATTACTGAAATCACACTAGACAATTGAGCAATGTGGGGAGTACAATTACAACCGATTCTGATGAAACTTGGTAGGCTTTTAGGGTGATTCAATTGGGGTTTGTCGAGTTTCAAATCAAAATTCCAAAAACTCTGAGAATGGCATTTAATTTGCTTTTCATC